TGACTCATACTATAATATCTCTCTCGCTTTAAAAAAAAAGGTACGAAGTACAAGTAATTGTAGTCTGTTAGTTGTTTGATGATCCATACCATACTGGGCACTAATATAATACCAATAACGGCTAGCTAGGACGATGCTAGAGTGATGTTATTGTGGTCTGCTGCTTACCTACATGTATAATATTGTAGTGTAAACAAACTATCTTTATGATTCTGGCGCGTCACGGTGGGTGCGATGTAGCATATCATACTTCATAGCATCACAAATTGCATGTACATGTATATAACTGTATATAACTGTATAACACTGCTCCTTTGCAGACCTGCACACCATTGTATACCTGATGAGGGCAATTTTGCCGAAACGTTGTGAAAAATTGATCAAATGAGTTCGAGTTTAACGTTTGCAGAGCGAATGGGAAGAGAGCGAATCTGCTCTGAAACCTTTTTTATGAATGAAGCTGCAGGAAGCCTCACCACTGCCACTAAACAATAAGAGGGCGAGTTAATACACTTTTTCCGCCCTCTCACTTTTTGAACTAGCTCTGCCCCTCGGTATTGAGGATTCTCTTGGACAGCCTGGAACCTCTCTGTTTTATTTGTATATACAGTGTACTCAATCTCCAGTTTAAAATCTTGTAGGACGCATCACGCAGCTTCATAAGTAAAAATTTGACTTGTGAGCAACACTGGCTCACACTCAATCACTGCTTTTCACAAATTCCTTTCAGGAAAAAATTCAACGTTTCGGTCATAAAATAACCATCACCAGAAATGAAGTAAACACACTGGCACATCGTTAGGATGGGTTAATAAATGAGGAGCGCTGCGACAGCCTGCGAGGAGATAACAATTCACACATGCTTGTACTATCACGAGAGAGAGAAAAAAGGTTGACAAAACATCGCACACAAACAAACAAAAACCAGGTATAGAAATTACACAATACGCAACAACTCTAAGTATGCCACAGGCACCAAACAGAGTATGTACATGTGCGTGTACATGCGTGTATAATTATAGGTAATTGCAGGCGCTAGCAAGTAGCAGTGCATAATCAGTAACAGTCAAGTATTTTTTTTCTCAAGTGTAGTGCGCTCCATGTTTGGGTTAGGAAACGCACCTCCAATTTTTTAACAGAGAAGTTTTGCCCTTCTCGGAGTGTGCAGTGACAATTCTTGATCAGCGACCCAAGTGCACGAGACGCTTGGGAAATCCTCAAAGCACATATCAGTGTTAGATGGTCCAAGTACATATGTACCTACACACGATCACTATTTCGTTAATTAATACCGGTATCAGTGTTAGATGATCCGAGTAGATCTACCTGCACCCGAGCACTATATCTCTTCATTAATACCGGTATCTAAACGGACGTGAAAGACTTTTTTTCGACGCTCTAGCAGTCCGCCACTAATGTGTGTGCACGTTGTTGCTCTATGTTGTTTTATTTATTATTATACTAGGGCAATCCCCACAGACTACATGACTTGTATAAGTAACAAAAAGAAGGTTTGAGCAAAGAGTTAATTTGAAACTATACGTTTTAGTCTATCGCTGCTTGTCGTCAATTGCTAGCCCCCTCCTTCAATCACTGTTTATCCTGCGTTCAGCTGGCCCGCACACAAATGCTCGTACTCGTGGCCAGGATACAGCTGCCTTAGTATTACCTACTGCACATATTGGGTATGGACTCGGTCTTTTTACAGTCTGCTCTAGGTAAGTGCGTGAATAAAAAGAAGTTAGTTGAATGAAGAAAGCAGGGGCTGCATACTATGCCACTATGTGCTGCAAAGAGGTTGCGTATCAGCTGACAGGTTACCATGGTTACTGGTACCGGTAGGGCAAAGAGTAGAAACCGCACGGTTACCATTTGACCTGAGAACGAAAATCTCTGCATGTAGGGCCGGTCTGCGGCAGCCGTGCACACATTTGGTATAAACAAGGTAAAAAGCTTATAACGGATGGCGATAGGAACTATTTCATGGCGATGACCAATAGTGACTGTTGGCCCGTAGGCATTGGCGGATAATGCTCGAAAAGGTGGCAGATTCTGCTCGAAAAGCAGTGAAATTGACAGAACCATACAAACCTTATGGCGGGCAATTCCTCGAATTCTGCTCCATTTCTTTATCCACATACCAAACTTGCATGAAACTTACCAGAAAAAGTTCCGAATTCTGCCAATTTTTCTGCCGGCATTATCCGCAAAGGCCTACAGTGTTGGGTGGCATAGTGAGTGTACTTCGAAGTAGCCAAACAGCCACCATTTTTCGACGCCACAAAATCATTAACGTCGGTGAACGCCTGCTGCGAACCGAAGTACCGCACTAGTGTCCACTATTCTATTTGTGGAGCGGAAAAGAAACATAGCCAAAACCAACAAGACCTGATCTTCTTTTATCTTAAAATAGAAATAGATAGTAATCTTTTACGCCACACAGGTTTGTTCAGCAGCGACAACGCTACTGATAAGTGCTTTCCAACAGACCTACAAATATCTATAAAAATTATACCAATTTCTTACAATCTTATGCAGAGCTCCACACGAGTGATGGAGGCCACTCTCCCTCGATATTTGGCTAGCTTATCATTCACTTGGGAGCCTCGGCGGACACTGCAAGCAACACAAATTCAGCTGCGGCTCGTGAGATGTTACGACCCGTATGCGTGAGTCTGTGAGACCTGACTGGCAACCAGCCTCCAGGTCACTACTGGGTAGTCCGTAAAACTACAATAATTTGTAGTAACTCTGTCCAGTGTCCACGAATGTAGCGCAGCCAAGCACCCTAACAGGACTCCTCGCCACGTGCGTTAACGTTGCTTGCAATAGGAGTAGTGCACGATTGATCGCCGTAGTGGGCCCTAGTGGTCTCCTCTTGAGTATTGAGTCGCATATCAAGTGATGTATGAAATGCACACCGGAAAAAGGTGATGAAGGAATGACCGTATCGATGCATCGCTCTTCCGTTGAAACATTACTTGCCATGACGCTGTTCGGGTTTCTGCTGTAGACGGTAGAAGCGGACATGATCAAACAATAAGACGATAGATTAATGCACGTTCAGAGATGACCACGCAACACTCCCTATCCTATTTCCCACCGTTCACGAAGTGCTGATACGACGCTGTCTGACTGTAGTACTAGCAGACCTATAACGGGTCGTCTCCCCTGATGCTGGAGACGGTTGCCCCAAGTCCGGAGACTCAATTGAGACAAGCCTCACCACCACTATGCTCCTATCATGCTTTTCCTGTGAGATATAATCATGGTAGAAAGAAAAAGGGAGGTGAGGAGGTGAGGAGATCAGACCCACCAAAGTGGTCAAAGACCGAAAGTCCCGTTCACTGCATCCATGCTTCCCCCTAGCAGAAGAAAAAGGATATTCTTAAAAAAAACCGTCTCCTATTTCTCTCGGTCTCGGTGTACTGTCCTTTGAACTTGGCAGTGTCACAGTGACACAATGATTATGTACACGGTCGGCATAATTAGCCACCGGGAAAAGCCAGCAGAAAGCGATAACATTGACAAAGATGTGACACATAAGTTATGACTCGGTGCACGCGTGATGAAATCGCAACAAAAAGATACCAAGCAACAGATGGAAGTTCCAATGAGCGCTTGCTGCGTGAAGGATAGGAATCGCGATGTTGTGCGTTTAGTTCAGTCCTTCCGAATTCCTTAGATGATAGATCACCACTTGTATACTACCCTTGTCTCGTGGTTGCAGGAACGTCCAGCCCACGGAAGTCCATGCAGCTAGCCAGCTAAGAACGCCCATTGGAAATCTACCTGGGACAGTAAACGGGAAATGGGAATACAGCCTGGAGTACCATAACCCAAGAAGAAGAACCCTGCTGAAAGTTTCGCTGTGACCTGCCTCTTTCTACTAGTATGTCTTTGAATACTCCTGATTGATTCCACTGTATGGATGCTAGTGTAGAGGGACAACACAAGGGGAACTCGGTAGCCTGTTGTCACTGAATTCTGTCCTGTGCGAAATCACGTTCCTAGAAAGCCGAGGCTGGTGTTGCACTGCATTCCGCTATCATATTACTATAATACTTCGAAGACATTTATCAATACATGCTTCACCTGTATCGGATAATACACCAGCAAGAGCTCTTTCATCTTTGAGCCTTGGTCAGGACCGTTCACTCTTGGTGACGGATTTCGCCACTCCGTAGTTTATTGGTCTCCGAACGCTCAACCCTCGATCTCACCATTGATATCGCGACCGCCGGCCAGACGTGCACGGCGATTCGCCGGCAAGATGCCGGCAAACTCCGGAAGCGGCGGCCGCTGCAAACGTTGGCCTTGGGGAGCTGATGGCGGCAGGCTGCTCGGTGAATTCAATGCGTACCGGCGTCACTGCCAACACAAGTGTGAACCTCCAGAGTATCGTATTATACTGCGGTAGTAGCAGTCACTACTTTTAAACGTATTCAATATCAATACTGTCGCACACAATTAGCAGTCCATGAAGGCAACCTTTGTCATCGAATGTACCAAATAACGTTAGCAATGCAGGCTGTGTGGAGGTGTGGTCTTAAACTCTGGAGAGTGGCCCATCAATGATTGAATGCACCTCACAGCTCTCCAAATTGGTATAATGAGCCACAATGCGTGCATGTGTGTGTGTGTGTGTGTGTGTGTGTGTGTGTGCCTTCCAAGCTGTTGAATGGTGTAATACCAGCACAAGTTGCAATCTGTTCGCTATCATTGCTTCCGCGATTGGCATGTCTGAGGTCTGAGGTGTGTGTGTGTGTGTGTGTGTGTGTGTGTGTGTTTGTGTGTGCGTCTGTGGATCATGAATGCCCTGAGCTGATTTGAAGTAGACACGACTCTCAAGTTGCAGCAGATGTTTGCGCCGCAGCCAGAGACAGATACCGATACAGCCGCTAAGCGGCAAACTCTCCCCAAAATATACTGTTCGCTATCACTCCCCATAAACCAAACCAGCATGAAAAAACTAATAACAAAAGCAACCTACACAAGAACACGCACTTTCCGAGGAAAAGATTGCTCCTGCCTTATCATCAACTGTCCCATTACTTTGTCCTTCCCTGGGACAAGCGATTGCATGCGATGACCGCTGCAACTTGTGTTGTGACTAATCATCGCATTTGTAACTTATTAGTACCTTTCTGCGAGAAGAATGATAAGGAAAGTGGCTACGGAGCCACTGTCAGCGGTTGAGGCATCGTCCAGGCATCCCTGGGGTAAGTAAAACACGATTACACTAGGTCATTAAGCATGATGTTACACATGCATTACTGTCTTCTTGAGAAGCTTTTAGCTGTAAGCTGATTTGCGACTGTCCCTGTGTTACATGTACAGGGTACGTACACAGTATAACATCCTACATGCATGTGTTTGTACATTGCGTACTCGTGGCCGTACACCAGGGTAACATTGATGCGGGGTATGGGTTTGTTTAAAGTCTTGACAAACTGGTGAGGCGGGTCTGATCTACTCACTCCCACCACGTATGACCTGTATCTTACGCAATAAGCCTTGAAGGTGGCGGCGTTCCCAGTGACACTAACTGTGAAGTCAGGTTGACTGAGACCCACGTGAGCCGTCAATTGTACTCATTTTAATATGTTCCCTTGCTAAGCCATTGTTTACGTGGCCACTTGAATTCAACGTATGCAGAGGATAGGCGAGCAGATGTAAGCACATATCTTCCAGCTCTTTTCTCGATGGCTTGCTAGGACAGTGCTGTCTCCGAGATTCGGAGACCTCTTGTCGGATGAGGGACTCCAGACACATCGCCCCACTTCCCCAGTTTGTCTGACCACTAATACATGTACATATTACACTTGTATGTTCACCGTTCAGTCTCCTTTCGTAGCTTTTCCCTATCAAGTACATATACATGTACATGCAGAAGTTGATGATTCTGTGGTTAGGGTTCCAAGTTTAACCATGGGCTTGGCGGGTGCGTGATGCGTGGTCTGGGATTAGTGTGATAGACCTGCACTGCAATGGAGCGTATATCTCCAAGGGCAGTAAAAATTGTACTTTTTGCCGGGGTAATGTCTACGCAAGGCTAACCCATAGTATAATATATACACAAAAGAACCGTGACTACTGGTCACAGTGTTCAATACACAGCGTGCAGAGCCTGGTAACGTCTTTTGCGTAGCTACGGGAATTAGCCCCATCCCTCACACAAACAAGTCAACAGGGAGGCATCTTTGGATTGAGGACTGAGGAGTGCTGGTTTCGAAACGACTGCTTTGAAGCTCAAAGTAGAGCTGCTGTTAGCTCAGAGCAGAGCTACTGTTAGCTCATACTAGCTGCTGTTAGCTCAGAGCAGAGCTGGTGTTAGCTCAAAGTACATCTGCGGTTAGCTCAAAGTAGAGCTACTGCTAGCTCAAAGTAGAGCTGCGATTAGCTCAAAGTAGAGCTGCTGTTAGCTCAACGTAGAGCTGCAATGCTAAATGGATGTAATATAGCGCAAGGAAGAGTCGCAGCAAATAGCTAGATAACACCAGTTGTGAGAGTGGACCCGTGGGTACGCTAATTATAATGCATGGTGTGAATAAGTTGGATATTAGGGATGGTAGGAAAAGAAACACGTCTGAAGCACGATCCGTTGTCTGGAAGAGCACAATAGGGCAAGCAAGATTTGTTTTTCTTTTCAGCAAAACGAGCTGGTGCCATTTTGTGATTACGCAGCAAAACAAAGCGAGTGACGTCGGTCTTGAATGCAGTACAAAGCAATGCAGTGCAGCGTGTGCGCTAGTTCGGGTTGTTGCTAACAAGTACTAGCCTGTGCTAGTACCCCATTAAATAATTAATTTCTCTACGCACGAGTTTCATGCTGAACGGCAATCATCAGGAGATTCCCCCCTCCCCTCTCCTCCCCCCTCTCCTCCCCCCTCCCTTCCCTCTCCTCCCCCTCCCTTCCCTCTCCTCCCCCTCCCCTCCCCTCTCCCTTCTCCTCTCTTACTTACTTATGTTGAAGAAAGTAAGACATAAGTTAGTACAGTATTGTTATATCCAGGGTACTTTCAAGTTTGTACTGAAGTTCCCCGTGACGTGTCGGTGACCAACGTCACGTACGTGTCAACAGGTGCTAGTGAGACTGAATGCTAGCAGCCAGAAAATCCCAAGGCTAAGAACAAAATGGCTGGCATGGGCATTGCTCATTGACTAGATTCTTGCTTGGAGGGAAGCAAATCAGCACACGAAGCACAGAAGCCAAAACAGTTTCGTTGCGCATTCCCACCACATAATCTTACATGACGGATGTTTAGCTTCAGCGTATAATATTATAGTAATGGATATCAAAGAGCAAAGTCCTCCGGATCGATAGAGTGCTCAAAGCGGAAGCAGAGCAGTAACACACGAGTCACAGAAAAACCACGCGTCTTGATTGTCGTAACTTAAAGTTTCATGCCATATAGCAATCTTCAGACAACTGATTACAGTGATGCACAGCTAGTATGGTATTTATACAGCAGCATAGGAAGGAATGTGTGAAGGTTTGAGGTCTGGTGGGTGCAAAAGTCCTGGATGGAAAATGTGCCAAACTCACATGGTCCGTGAGTGAGAAAAGAAATATGATATGGCAGGAAGGCAAGCAAGGCTGTGTGAAAGGATGATAATGATAATGTGGCTTGCCTGCAATCACAATCATGCAGGTGCAAGATGCCACACACTTTGGTAAGCGCTTAAAATAAGTTGGAGGAGGGGAGATACTTGCTCTTCAATGCACCAACAAAACAAGTGCAAGATGGAAATTTCCACGCGCTGTGATGGCTATAGGTGCTTAGAATAGGCGAGGAACATGAAAAGAAATGACCACGATGACGTGACGTCAAGCGAGGTTATAATGCAAGATACTACACCCATAATTAGAAGGGCTGCAGACGGGTGCAAATTGCTGTCGCGCGTCGTGTGGCTGCAAGACACGTGACTCCGTACCCACCAGGCAGGAACTTGGCAGAGTGCCTGTACTTTGATACGAGCTCCGTTCGCTTGTTGAGGGAGGTGCTGCGATCGGATATGCTGGTGTGATATTTCTCTGTGATACATAGGTTGCAACGCTTGGTGACATGGCCTCCAAACCTTTAAGGTCAACGTATGTATTAGGATCTAATCCGAAAGAGATGGCTGTGGTCCACACAGTACCTGTGACGATGATATTGAGACCCATTTAGTATTTACCTCTCTACTAGTACTTGCTTGTTATGATTATTGTTCTCTTTCTTCTTTTTCCCTTCTGGTTTAGTCATTACACGTATTAATATTATTTGGTGCAATACTAGCGCCCCTTTCTCGCACCAAATTATTATTTTTGCTACCTGACCATGCAACCCCCCCCCCCCTTTTCGATGCCAGGTTGCAACGCTAACGCCCAGACCCCTGGTCGGTCGAGTTGCTCCCTGTACATCGGCACGTCGTCCCTACATCCCCTGTGTCTTGTCTTGTGTTTGTCTCCACATGTCTCTTTGTAGGGCTGTGTTCCCAATAAATAAAAAAATAAAAAATAAATAAATTATGTGTAAGCCCGTGCACGTTCCTTGATGGACCACCCAATCTCATAGGCCTTGTTCTGGCGTTTTAGGCTCCAGACATACTTTGCCAGCTCCGTACTTGCTTCATGCCGCTCGTGGCGCAGCGACGTCATATGATTTCCATACCTGGACTTGAAATCCGGTGCCGACATTCCGGTGTATGTCTTCAGGGCACTGTTCGACGTTACTTCGGCCTCATACACCACATTGGTCGACTTGCATTCACCTTTCAGCGGACAAGATGCGGCGACTCGGCAGTTGCAGGGGACTCTCTCGTGCTTTGGTTGCATCATTTTCTTGTTGTGGCCTTTGATCCGCGTTTCCATATTAGGCATGCAGCTATAGCCGACTCTCAAGGTGTTTCTGTTGAAGAGCTTTCGCAGTTTGGCGTTCTTGGGGAAATGCTTGCTTACTAGTGCGAGAAACTGGCCTCCGATGTTTGTCCTGACATTGGCGCTATACGGAGGATTGAACCAGATGATGTCTCACCCGCGTTTCCTCTTGCGACTTGACTGGGTGTTCACATCGTCGTACACAAGCACTCTGGGGTGGCCACTGGCAGCTAGCGCGTCGGCGTACTCAGGCACGGCTTCCTCAAAGACTTCTTTTGAGCTGGAAATCATCGCCAGACGCTTGTTGTAATGGATATCATTCGCCAATACTAAAATAGGTATCACCTTGATTCGCTTCTCTTACTAATAAAACCGCAGCACATGCTTACCCTGTCATCATTTTTATCTCTGATTTTGCTGTTCGCTGTGCTAAAGGGTTAGTTACTTTCTAACATCAGAGAGGCGTGATACAGAGTCCATTTCCCTGACCATGGAAAAGTACCATAACCACTAGATGATCACACGGAAATGCAATACTGCGGAAGGGACTACCGTCGCAGCATCGTGCACAACCCAATACTGGGGGAAAGGACATGTAGCACTGAAGACCGGCCGGGCGGCTTTCCGTAATACGTGCCCAAGGATTTTTTTTTAATTTCAAGGAGTTTCGTGTTTGTGTCAGCAATAACCATTAGGTTAGATACGATAGTGAACAGCGCTGAGTGGGTTGAAGACTACAACGCACTACTATTTCCAGTGTGTTACCGTACGAGACTGGAAGGGCACTAAGGCAAACACGATGCACATATCGGATACCACTGTTTCTCGGAAGGGAACACTTGCCAGTTATGAGAGGCACCAGATGTGCGACTAATACCTCCCAGGCAGCGAGGAACACAAGGTTCCATATCACATTCAGGCACCGCTCCAATGCCGCATGGGACGGGTTACCCATAGCAGACTACCATCTTTCCGTTAACTTTTTTTTATATATTTGTTAGTGTTTATTTGAATTCGGATAGCTCAACAGCACAGAAGTACAACTGCAAAGAGTACCGAATACAGTAGAAGGCCCCGAGAACGGGAAACCAAAAAGAAAAGAAAAAAACAAAAACAAAAACAAAAAACAGCAACATCAATTAAATTTATTTACTGATTATGCACGTTAACTGTAATACTAGATTATTATTATTATTATTATTATTATTATTATTATTATTATTAAGCTTCCGTGGAGATAAAAATGTAATCAACGCAATAAATAGAGTAAGCTGCGCACTCAGTACAAACACCATAAGCAAAACTTGTTTTCATGTATATAAAGAAGCTTGTTCCTAAACGTTTTCGTCGCCATCTCATCAGAGGATTACTGGCAAATCAACAAAAGCTCTTAACTCAAGTTTAGGAACAAGCTTCTTTATATACATGAAAACAAGTTTTGCTTATGGTGTTTGTACTGAGTGCGCAGCTTACTCTATTTATTGCGTTGATTATTATTATTATTATTAATTCAACATCTCCTGGCTCGTCAGAAGACTGCCAATATATATGAGAAGTCGGGTGGTAGCCAACCACGGCGAACTGAATAATAAGGAGAGAAACAAAGAGAGTACTGCAAGGGGAGGAATGACGAAAATGGTGAGATTATTTAGGACGAAGAAGCTGAAGCTTGAACTCCTTAATGTCTGTGCATGCTTTAAGGCTAGTTGGCAGGGAAGACCAGAGAGTGTACGCAGAGAAGATAGGAGATTTCAGAAACAGGGAGGTATTGGCACGGGGTAATGAGAAGGAATGACGTGTTGATCTGGTGGACACAAACCAGTTATACTTAGCAAAGTGTTTTGGAGCCAGGTCTAATAAGATCATGTGTACAAGGATGCAAAGATGTTGCTGGTGTCGCTCTAAGAGGGGAGATACTGAAGCTAAACTGTAGAGACGTTGGGAGGAGAATGTTTGATTTTTGCGAAAACAGGATTTTTAGAAGCAGACGCTGGTGTATTTCCAGAGTTTGAACAAGGGCCTGAGACAGACCGCACCACGCTGTGTCACAGTAATCAAATATAGGTAGAATATACGACGTAAAGAACAATTTTCGGCAATGGTCATATAAATGGTGGCAGTGAGGTTGCAACATGCCAAGGGAGGAGCTAGCTCGCTTGCATACTGACTGGACCTGTGGGGACCAGGACATATGGCTGTCGAATATAACACCAAGGTGTTTGTGTTCATGAACAATTTTAACGTTAGCATTGGCTCCTGGAAAGTGCAACGGCTGAGTAGGCGGCGATGGGCTGATGAACATTGCTTCGGTCTTCGCATGTTGGGCCTCAGCTTCCAAGCCTCAATCCAGATGTACATCATGTAAGTGTCCATCCGCCTGGATCGGTTAGAAAATCAGTGTCGACTCTCAGGGTAGCAAGAAGTGGTCGCCCCCGGCTAGGCTCTTGGGATTTTGTCAGGCAAAGAATGTATGCAGGGACTAAGCTGCACCTCCTAGGCGCACCTCGTGATCATGGTGATCGAGCTGGTACGGTCTACCTGCAACATCTGCATGACTGTGACTGTCTGCAAGAGCTATACTACTATACTGGACACTACTAGTAGGTCTACTACTAATATTCCTATTTAATAGTATTACTTATTAGACGAGGCACCCAGTAGTGCTGTACTGTACTGTAGCAATGATCTGATGATGCATGTACTACACCTTGTGCATGCCTCCTTTGCTTCTCTCCTCCCATCTCCGCTACATTATTCTCTTTGAACCCACTATTTTGGTGCGCCCTCCCCACAGTAACGCCGACACCGTCATGGTCAGTTGAGAGCCCTGCACTCCACCCCCACCTTTACTCCTGGCCCCACAGGAGTAGATGCCATAAGTAACGGCATAAGTGTAAAGGCATAGACTTAGAAAAGAACACAAAAACACGCAAAAAATGCACAGACTGCATGCATATCCTCCACACCTTTGCGAAATTTGTCCGGTTTTAGCATCGATTAATGAACGTACCTGGAAGGAAAGCAATTTGCGGACCACAAAATAATAGGGTTTGAGCCGAATTCAGCGAAGATCGAGTTTGATTGTTTGTGAATGGATGATGATTACAATCGCTGTACTACCTGCAGTCTAGTCTGGAGTTCAAAGTACAGTACAATCATCGGTCTACCGGTACGTAGATCTACATTATTGTAATGTAGATCTACATGATTGTAGATCTCCCGTTGATCAATGCGAAGGTCCTTGGCTTTACATACACATGCGTCATTATCATGATTATTGTCGAGGATAAGCCTCTAGTTGCCAAAATGTTCTTCTCCACGCTAGATGGACGAGAACATCCTTTTTGTGTAACGGCTCGTAGTCAGCAAGTAGTGAGCAAGCTAGCTGACTGCTAGGGATAATAAAAAGGCACATGGCTGGGCCATAGAGAGTCGAGCTAGTGAGTCCCCAATGCTACTATCTCTATCGGCAAGGTAACCTTACTTGGCGCTGTTCGACACTAACTTACTTCTTGAGGTGTCGGCAAGCCGTGTACGTGCGGACAGGGATTCGGACGACTTGAATTCTTCGAAACGCACCCTAGTAAAGTGCAGAAGACCTGAGAAGCCGGCCGTGCCCATAAACGCTCCACAACTCCACATGCAAGCGGAACGAAGGCACGAATGCTACTTGGTGTGCTGGTGCAAGCCTGTGATTTCTGCATCTTCCAATAAGGCAAGGTATGGGCCGATACTCCCAGCCAGGAAAATGGCAACAAAAGTTTGATTTTCTCTGTGTGTACTAGAGTTGAAAAAGTATAACAGAAATAATACAAGAGAAAAAGTGATGAACAGGTATAAGGTATTATGATAGACATGATAGTAATACAGGAGAACAAAGTGCCCCCCCCTAGCCAGTGCACTCGGCTTTGAAATAGACTGCAGTTCAAAAGTATAATTGGTAAGCTTGTGCAAGAACATGACCTAGGCGTGTAAGATAATCGCAAGGACAGACATGATGTCATTGTACTGAAACTACATGATGAATGCATCCGGTGGCTAGTCAAACCTGGGAGTATTGAGAGTTCAACCGTGACAGGGCCAGGAAGCCCACTGTCCGTAACAGTGTTGCACGGTGCTCCTATTTATACCACTGTGTGTACGATTCCCATTTCTCCCAGGGCCTCAACCGAAGATTTACATACCGGCATCCTTGGTAGCAGTGGTGTTGCTGGTTTCAAGTGCAGCAATCACAACGGCCACTGCTCTCGGTCGCAGTGACATAAAACAAGTCACAATACCCGAGCGGCAAGGCAAAGAGCTGAGGTGTAAGAAATGGGATGATGTGTACCGCGGAGACTTCCACGATGCCTATCGCTGGGTCCATATACCCACTGCTTCTGCTGCTGCTGCTGCTGCTGCTGCTGCTGCTGCAACTAACATTGGTTCAGGAAATGGATTGTTGGAGAATTCTACACAATCTTCAGCTTCGTCGTGTGATACCAGCAGTGTTGCGATGTTTGGTTCAACGCAGGCAGAAGTACGGCATGACCTGCCAGCTCCTGGTGTGGACACAAGTTCTCATCGAGTACTGGTTGCGGGCAAGATTCTGTGGGTGTCGCAAGAACAGGGACAGACAGAGTACACGACCATTGGCCATACACGCTACCTGAGCATCTCTGCGGCTCTACCTCAGGATTCTGGACTATGGGTATGCTGCACTACAGCAGACGCGCAGCCGTTGAGTGTATTCAACGTGACCGTGAAGGGCAGTTGGAACAAAAGACCAATCAGCGATGATGAGGGTAAGTGTCTGTGCGCACTTACGATGACCCGCGTTTACTTACATGTACATTCTGGCGGCTGCCTTTAGAACAGCGCTATTACAAATGAGTGTCGTTTCTCTGCCTTTAGAACAGCGCTATTGCAAATGAGTGTCGTTTCTCGCTAGCTCCGTCGCTACATTGATCATATTAGCTGCAGAGTTCCTTCAGTTAAAAAAAAAAGATAGCAGAGACCTTGCTAGTACGACCGGATATGTACATGTACATATCACATGTGTTCCTTTTTTTCACTTTCTTATGAGTACATCACCAGCAAGAGTCAAATGGTTGCTTGTTATCTGGGTTCGAGGATCCGTGGTAACGTTTTCTAAAGCGTGAGTGGATGCATCTTGATTTTTTGGCTGTGCCGAGTAGGAGTAGTAATTCGATGATATGGCTCTAAATCTTGAAATTTTCAGAGGAGAGCTCCCAAACTGATGCTTAGAATGGCCGACCGTAGCATTCTACAACACATGCGGACGCCTCTGAGGCATCCCAAATTTTGTTTTTCAGGTGTGCATGATGTCGTCATTTTGTTTCGGGTTTACTTTCTATCTCTGGGTGTTGCTCCACTCGTAAAAATTATACTTATAGCGCATTGAACCTGGCTAATGAATTCACTGGCTTGCTGCGCTGCCGGTCTGCCGTTGTTCTGCCTGTGACAGATATGCTACAGGGATCCAGTGGGATGGGCACTACTGCAAACCGTGCTGTGCTTTCTAGCAAGAAATGTCCGCAGATGGACGCCGTGAAGCGGCACACCAACTGCGAGTTGCAGAACTGGGATTGTAACTGCGCCGTTGAATGCTCACTGTCGTGTGAACACAGCGCTGACGACTATTTCTTCACATGGACATTCAGTGATACGGTACTCAATGTGACCAATCGAGTAGACCTTGTTGGTCACGGGTATTTCGCAAACAGAAATTATCTCTGGCCCACATTGAAGGTAGTTAATAAATCTGTGTACACAATCCATGCAGTCGAGTAGTGTTTGCTTGCAACTACAGTGCAACATCTCTAGTACACACTCTGATAAGACTTACTCTTGCTTCATGCGGACATTGTCCAGGCTGAGCACGGGTGTAGTGATCCACACTAAAATACTTAAAGGGGAAGTTAAGGCAAAAATTAAAATTTCACCAGTTGTAGTCTTCGGGGTGCTGAGTCGAATGGTCTTGGTCCGAGAAAGCTGAGGCGCTCCCTTCCAACTTGAATCCCAATCGAACTCGCGCACTTCCACCGAAACTGGGTGACTGCGCCCTACTAGATGGGGATTTGTATGCAAAATGTCACTAAAAGCGCCATTTCGTTCTTATAAAAGCACGGATGACCGCGATTGGCCCATATGTTGTAGTCTTTTGGACGCTGAGTCGACTTGTTTTGGTCCGAAAAGGCTGCGATGCAGCGTTCCTCCTTTATTCCCAATCGAACATGGTTGAACAAGCGGTCACGTGCTCCTGGGTGCCCAAATCACCTGGTCACCACGCCAGCAGGCGACAACTTTCACACCAAGGTTCAACTCGAGTTCAACTCGAGTGACAGGACTGCACCCAAAAAAGGTCAAACAGGCTAGTAAGTTGTACCCAGCAGGCACGGTGACCAGGTGACTGGCGTACGCAGGAGCACGTGACCGCTTGTTCAACCATGTTCGATTTGGAATAAAGGAGGAACGCTGCATCGCAGCCTTTTCGGACCAAAACCAATCGACTCAGCGTCCAAAAAACTACAACATATGGGCCAATCGCGGTCATCCATGCTTTTATAAGAACGAAATGGCGCTTTTAGTGACATTTTGCATACAAATCCCCATCTAGTAGGGCGCAGTCACCCAGTTTCGGTGGAAGTGCGCGAGTTCGATTGGGATTCAAGTAGGAAGGGAGCGTCTCAGCTTCCTCGGACCACGACCATTCGACTCAGCACCCCAAAGACTACAACTGGTGAAATTTTAATTTTTGCCTTAACTTCCCCTTTAAGGATAAGAAGTAACTCGGATACTGAGTACACAGCTTCCTGTTCCCCATGCGGGTACGTCTTATCAGAGTTCCCCTCTGCGTGATTGCACAACGGTGTGTGTGTGTGTGTTCGTATTTGTGTATGTGTGTGTGTGTGTGTGTGTGTGTGTGTGTGTGTGTGTGTGTGTGTGTGTGTGTGTGTGTGCGTGCGTGTATGTGTCTGCATGTGTGTGTGTGTGTGTGTGTGTGTGTGTGTGTGCGTGCATGTGTGTGCGTGCATGTGTGTGTGTGTGTGTGTGTGCATGTGTATGTGTGTGTGTGCATGTGTGTGTGTGTATGTGTGTGCACGTGTATGTGTGTGTGTGTGTGTGTGCATGTGTGTGTGTGTGTATGCATGTGTGTGTGTGTGTGTGCACGCTCGCGTGCATGCATGCGTGTGTGCGTGTACAGGTAGATGGACCAACCCTTACAATCCATGCATATTACTTGTACAGTTTCTTTAATGGCAAGTACGCTGGCGTGGAAGACAACAAGCCTCCTGGACTCTTTGATACGTGGAGGAAATTTGTGGAGAACAAAATGTGGCTGACATGTACTGCCGTGCGCATCTCTGATTCATGGACATCAACTGTGAACCTGACCATTGAGAAGTTGAAGGTACTAAAACCGGAGACTGAGAAAATCAGTGCTGAGAACTGTTCACTAGTAGGGAACGTTACGAACGCCAACCCGCTGTCCCCACTGTCACCAGATCAACGTGTTCCAGAAATTAGTACCTCTTCTTCAGTAGAATTAATTTCTACTGAGATGTCCCTGACATCGGCCACTCCTAGTTTAGATGCAGCACTCGGCACAATGTCTGTTGGTACAACACCGAGCAAGCCGGTCCCTGAAGTTGAGAACATACTGGGCACCGTGATCACTGCACATAGCGATGGACAGCAAACGGCTCGGCCCAGAAATGTGACTTCATCACTTCCCTTTGCAACGACAACAACAACATCACTCAAGGGGGTCACGGGGAGAAATGGTCTGATAGGTGACGCGGGCAATAACGAAGCTGGCGTGGCACTTGCAGCCTCCGTGGCTGGTCCAATTGCAGCCCTGCTGCTTCTTGTCATGGTGGTGATGTACGTACGATGGAAACGTAATACAAAGCTAAGACACAGTCTGGCAAAAAACAACAACGGCAATGTGGTGAGTAGAACGACTACTATTCACAGGATTTGTTAGACGTTGGTACAATCAACCTTGTGAATAACCACCTCATAGATCCTGCATGAGGACGGTATCGCTAATTTTTTTCGAGTTGTCGTTATTCGTGAGGTTGAAAGTGTGCAGTCAAATTGTCTCTTGGTCTCACGAAGATTGTGTCGTTATTCACAAGTTGCCGTTATACCCGAGGGCGTTGTTCATGCCGACGTTGCTCTATGAAAGCTAGGATTCTCCTATCATGTCGTGGATGCACCCCGACCAACAGCCTTTAATTTGGAAGGTTCTTGGAAAGTGAATAAGCATGATATAATTGATATTACTGAGAGAAAGACCGACACAGCACTATCTCTCTCGAATATTTCTTGACTGGCAGTTATAATGGACCAAAAAGCGTTGGACACAACCTTCTAAGTTCTTGGTCAGCCGCGCGTCCTAGAGGTGACAGTCACAGAACTAACATCAAATGCATGTACCATCCGTTCGCATTTATGCCAAGTGTTCCATGAGCAAACAACTGATCAGAATCTTGGTATTGTATAGGTGGACAACTATGCACAAAGTCAAGCTGCCTGGCTCTGTTATGCATAACGCGAATTCTGTCATACTGCACTCACAGCATAAAACATCCAAACTAACTAACAAAGGAATATAGTGAGCAAAGGCCAAAGGGTGTTCTAATATAAACATCAGCTTCAACTTTGGAATCGGTGTGAGTCTTGTCTTGTGACATGGCGTGAATTTGTGTTCAGAAACACTCCAGAGGAAGAATGGACAGTTTTACTCGGCGATTGTCACTGGCGATCTTCTCGTCATCCTCCTTGTCCTCACCATCAGGCCAATCAGCTTCAGAAAATGATAAACGCATCCCTCCCAAGATTATATCTCCCAGTTCAATGAACTCTGTAAGCCTGCCCAAGCCATGGCCACTCAACACTTTGAGTATGCATAGTTCTGTGACGTGTGACTGAACAGGGCCACCGAAACCGGTTTGGTTAGTCAGGTTATAAGTCTAGTGACGTAACGAACCATGAATTTGACGAACGAATAATCTAGCGAATACCACTCAACGAGCGAACGAACCACTATTCTACTATTCCTCATAAAGTGTACGTGTAGCAAACACACAACACAAGCGCTCAGACTCGAGTCAGAGTAGAGTCTGCCATGGTCTACCCCGCGTAGTCTAGTCGTTGTCTGCAACACAGTACATGTACAAAGACTATGCATTTAAGTCGAGAGATCTAGAGTCGCGCACGGCATGCAGCGCACGGACTTCGCCTGCTCGCGAATATTCAAATTTTCGAACCGTCGACCTAGATTTTATCCGATCGATTATTTGTTGAGGCCCAAGGGATTGAGGAAATTCGAATAATCGATTATTCGTTACATCACTAGTTATAACCGGACCAACTCTTTTGGCCACCAACAAGTGTTTCCTACTGTGGAGTGTATGTGTATCCACCATCAAACTGTATGAAAGGCCACAATGCTACCGGACCAATTGAAAACTGCTTCCGACGGTCCTGCTGAAATATACAAAAGGGTGGGGATTGGTGGAAGACTGAGGGGTGGGGGCTCATTATTAACTATGGTTTAATTATTTATATTGGGGATAGCTATGTATTGGCTATACACAGCAATCTACATTACTCGGAGAGAACTTCTCACCCATAGTCACTTCCTTGTTTGGCCGATATGCAGTGGAAATCAAAACAGGGTCTTTCGACGCTGATCTAAGCTGCAGTTAGGTGTAACGTTAGCCTGAGGTCAATAGATATTTGGCGCAGGTAATTTTCGGGATTTTTGGCCGAAATTTGTTGCGACCGAAATTTTGCTTTGCAAGATTCAGTGCGACAGTGTATACAGCCAGCAGTAGTACAGGCCAAAACATTAATGCTGCCGAAATGTGCTTCAGCTCTGGGAGGCCAAAATTTTGAACGCACCGAACGTTTATAGACTTACAGTACTTAGTTGATGGTCTAAGGCAACCTCACAATGGGTATTATGATTACCGCCATTACGTGACGTTTCTGATGTGCATGCGGTGTGTTGTATACAGGACTCGAATCTCATCTCACCTTCAACGCCCATGGGATGGTCGGCGGGCAGCCGGCAGTCTCTCCGATATTCGCATGCTCCCACGCATTCCGGCAGTCATGGTCATGTTGGTGGCATGCTTCCGCCGCCAGCCTGCTACGCACACACCTATTCCAGTGCCGAAGCCCAGGCCACGCTGCAGTCGTGGAACGCCAACAGGACCCACCTGACGCCGTTCCGATTCCTGTCACCAGCTGACCTGGAACACTGGTCCATACCTCGCTGTGATGTGACTTTTGGTTCCAGAATTGGTAAGCACTGAGCTCCCCACTTTTGGCTACGTTTTGGAGACTGAACGGTGTAGACATTTAGAAAGGTTTCAAAATATTATGTCATAATATTATGACCGCAATCAGTAATACAAACTGGATCGACATTTGTGTACACTATATTCATGTATTGTAAAACTGTGGAGACAATGTGCAATAAAACGATGAAAATGTTAAGAAATTGTGTAGAGAAAAAAAGGGATTCAAACAAGTTTTCGTACAACACTCATCAGGAATCTTCGTTGTACTAAAGGACACTGAAAACAAAATTGAACTATTACAGTTTCTTAACTTTTTCATCGTTTTTTTGCACATTGTCTCCACAGTTTTACAATACATGAATATAGTGTACACAAATGTCGATCCAGCTTGTATTACTGATTGCAGTTATCAAATTGTTGTCTCCTCGCCGTTTGTTCATAATATTATGTTTTTAATATTATGTTTTCTTCAAGGCAAAAATACGATCACACTTCAAAAAAGACCAACCTTCAGCGGGTCCTCACAAGAACCATTTTCAAAATGGCCTGTAGAAGTATACTTTCATACCCTCTCATGAGGCGGAATGTAGCCAAAAAAAAGGAAAAAAGAGAGCAACAAATTATTACACCAGAGAGGTGATAGAACAGCACAAACAAGATATGCCAGAAACAACACAGGAAATCAGTGAACTCGTCCTCACAGCAGGAATGGCAAAAGAGGTGTGAGTGGGAAGATACCTAGCAAGCGTGCAAGCAGTGTGACAACAATGGACGAACACTGGATACATGTTGACAAGTCATTGATGACCTACCTAGCAGTCTCAGTGTGACAACATTGCACGTTTGTTACAGTTAGGTTTCTTCACTCTTGCACCTATTTGTCGATCCTTTTATGTGCATCAGATCACGGCCCTGATGATTTTAACATTGCTGTTTCTGGCTACTCTTCTTTGCACACTGTTTTGTCACGTCCCTGCTGTACTAAATTCAATGTTCTGGTTCATTTTCTTCTTGGTTTTATTACCACGTGATGAGAAAGCATGAAAGAATACTTTTGGCATTTTTCATAATGCTGCTTGTGAGTGCGGAGCCTGAAGTTTGTTGCAACGCTTTATTTTTGAAAGTACTCAATGCCGCGTACAGGCAACTGCTTCAACCAGCAAGGTCTCATTGGTGCAACTATAGAGAAGTAGGACTGACCCGTGCCAGCCATGGCAACAAGAGCGGCCAAAGACATCTTGACACTCAACTCAAAGTACTAGTGCTGAGACAGTGCTGAAACAAGGAGAAGTGGGCAATACCTGATTCTAAGCAGCGCAAAGCAGCCTGCGGCGAAACCCGTTATCAAGAGTCCCTTACAAAATCAGAATCAAGGAGCAGGACGCTCAATGCTAAAGTCAACTTACTGTAACTCAGGACCGCCGGAAGCAGTTTTTGATTGGTCCGGTTGTATCATGGCCGTTCATACAGTTTGTGTATGACATGGCGGGTACAGTCATGACCTCTACAGGAGGAAACATGTGTTGGTGGCCAAAAGGTTGGTCCGGTGATAACCTGACCAACCGGACCGGTTCCGGCAGGCCTGCTGTTTAGGCCAATATGGGGAGTCATTAGTTCAATTACTATTTGAACATGGACAAGCAGTGCCCAGCAAACATTGCAAGGTACACTTAACTAATCCTAACATGAACGCATGTGTTTATGTGCATATGCTCTTTACTGTACGGTGCAGGCAAAGGTGCATTTGGTCAGGTGTATGCAGGACATTACCATGCCACATCAACTGGCAGCCAGCGTGTTGCACTGAAGATGCCCAAAGGTATATTGAAATATTCAGCAGGCTGTGTCAAGTTTACATTATGGCCATGGTAAAACAAAGTCATATCGACCATCCGTAGGCTGTGAATTGTGGAGCTTCGACTGCACCTGTAATTTACAATACCTCATTAGAGCATCGAAACATTCTCTCCCTTCTGTGACTTTTACTGTTCAAGTATATAACACAAGTATAGAAGGAGGTTGTATGTAACCTACTCAGTCGAAGCACTCGCATCATGTCCTGTACTTCCTAGTGTCGAAACACTCGCATCATATCCTGTACTTCCTAGTGTCGAAACACTCGCATCATGTCCTGTACTTCCTAGTGTCGAAGCACTCGCATCATGTCCTGTACTTCCTAGTGTCGAAACACTCGCATCATATCCTGTACTTCCTAGTGTCGAAACACTCGCATCATATCCTGTACTTCCTAGTCTCTCCTGTCCCATTAAACTCATACTAAGTAGTCTTGTTGTTAGGAGAATGAAAATGTTTGCAGTTGTGTGCCTTTCCTGGTTATTGGTTAGCCAATTACACTCACAATACATACAACTTTACATACAACTTTACATATAAGCATGATATATGCCAAATGGTAAAGGTAAAAGTAGCCCATGGTCAATTCTGCCTGAAGGGGCTAGAGGCTGGCTTGGAGAACTCCTGTTTCGATGAGCTTGACATAATGCCCATCTCCTCTCCCACATTGCCTTTCCCTCCCCAACCGAAGTCACTCGGGTACGCAGTCTCAGATAGGTCTCCTGGGCCTTGAAATACATGTAGTCTTCAAGAAAACTGGGAATCAAGCCCGCATAACCTCCTGTTTGGAAGGCCCATGCTCAAACCACTTTGCCAACCATGCACCACGTACCTGTACATGTACAAAATGAAGTGTGTGTGTATGATATGCATGTATACTTAGTCTCCGGACAGCTAGCTGCTTCGACCCTGCGCGTATGCATGTGTGTGTAGATGGGGATGTGTGTGTGTGTGTGTGTGTGTGTGTGTGTGTGTGTACGTGCATGTCTGCGTGTTTGGCTATGTATGCGTATGTATCTGAGCACATGTGTGTGTGTGTGTGTGTGTGTGTGTGTGTGTGTGTGTGTGTGTGTGTGTGTGTGTGTGTGTGTGTGTGTGTGTGTGTGTGTGTGCGTGTGCGTGTGTGTGTGTACATGTGTGTACATGTCCGTGCATGTGTACGAAGATGGCATGTTTGACAGCTCCGAGTGCCTCCAGGATATGATAAGTGAAGCAAGGATCATGTTCCAGGTCTGCCAAGGCCGCTCACCATACCTTGTGAACTTGATCGGTGTTTGTGTCGACAACGAAGGTCAGTTTGATAGGGACAACATGCACTGGCGTTCACTCAGTCTGCTTCTGATATTATTTATAGCGTTGTAGCATATGCACGGCTTGGAGAGCTGGTCACACATGTAATTCTGGTAAGACATGCACCAATCCTATGAGCTGACATGTCAGGGAAAGTTAGATTAGTAAACGAAGTGAATTTCTTAGGCAGGTTCAGAAACAGAGAGATGGAGAGACGAGTTAAGTGAGAGAGAACGTGAGAGAGAAATGGGATATCTGGAGAGATTGGACTTTTAGAGTCGGGTTTTTTAATCTAGATATTATGTCGGAATGGGCATTAGTACTGGTTTCGTTCAATTCTTATCCGGTTTGTGTTACTACATAGAGAATGGCCAGTCTATTGCACACTCAGCAAGCTGTCCTTGTGGTGGGTAACTCGGGCTCATTATAATCATATGATAGAAAGTTCATATGTGTTCATGTGTGTGTGCCACAGGCCCTCCAATAATCTTGCTAGAGCACTGCGTGAAGGGAAGTTTGATCGACTGGCTTCGTGCATATAGCTCGGCATACGGCTCTCCAGGGAATCTCCTCCTGACTCAGCTCAAGACTCAACCCAGTACTATCCAGGCTGAAGAATGTGCCTATTTCAACCATAAGATGCAACCGAGCCCAACGAAGGTCACAACAGGGAATAATCTAACAAACGTACCAGGTGCTAAACATGATCCTCTTGGTGTTGATGTCCAGCAGAGCAGTTTCAACCGTACAAAAGTCAAGGATATGAGCATCAACAGTGAAGTCGAGGCTGACTACGCCAATTTGCAGCAAGACAGTCGAGTACAATCACTTGTCACACTCTTTATCTCCTTTTCACATCAGATCGCCGCCGGCATGGAGTACCTTAGCCGCTACAGTGTAAGTTTGACTTCAATACCCAGCTGTAGTGTGAGGGTGGACAAAGCGATGGTGTTCAGATGAAGAACAATAGCCGTGAGTTCAAGCTGGGTACAAGGTGTCCACAACCAAGTGGCAGTCGGCTCCCAAGGACTTTTTAAATGTCTAGATCTTAGCCCTCTATCTGCAGATCACACACGTACTCATTCATGGGAGTGTCACTGCTTGAAGTGACATGAAAGGGTACTTGTAACTTAAGCTAGTGCCATGATCAGCACAACTGGTACCAAGCAGGATGCTCTGATCTCTAGCTTGAACAATTCTACAGATATGTTAATAATTGATCTTGTGCTTGAAGTGGCCTCGAGATTCAGCCCCTTTGAATTTGTTTGGCGTTTTGTTTTGATCTTTCTGCTGCCTGTGTTGGCTGATGTGTGTGATATTCAGGTGGTTCATCGAGACCTGGCAGCACGTAACATCCTGCTGACGGAGTCAAACACACTGAAGATAGCTGATTTCGGTCTTGCACGTGAATTGACAACCTTTCAGGGCTACTACCGCCATCAGAACCATGTAAGTGGTGTCGGCTGGGGAGACGTCATGAAACTTGCATGCTAGGACTCATCATGTTTGTTTGTTTGTTTGTTTGAAGGTCTATTTTACATCGCAAACCAAACGGGCATTGATGCCCAATATTATGATGGCGATAGAAAAAAAATGAAATGTGGCTCGATAAAGCACGAGCTGTACTCGAGAAAACGAGACAGTAGTCAATAGGAAATATATTATGTGCCGGCAATTCACAAGCCAAGTTCTAACAGAATTTGCAATCAGAGAGAAATGGGAAAATGAGGACCTATGCCAGAGGGAGGTAATGATCAGGTAGATCAGCCATAGAAGAACCGCGACTTTCAGTAATCTTTAAAAAAAAGAATTTGGGCGACGAGTGGACGTAAGCTCCGGTGGCAGAGTGTTCCGCGGGCCAAAGCTTCGCGGCGGAAACCAATGGGCGGCTGTCGCCAGTTGTCCGCCAAGTTAGCGGCACAATGTATTTGAAATTGTCATTGCCACGGGTGTTGTCACTTTACAATCTTCATTGTCCTATGAAAAGGCTCTGTTTTCATAAGATCCTAAGGCATGGGACGCATGTCACATGCTTGTAATCTGTGTCACATGACCTGAGTCACAAGGTCTTTCTCATAGTTACATGCACGCGCCACAGGATCTCTGTCACCTGACCTGGGTCACATGATTATGTCACCATGTGCTGAGTCACATGATCTCTGCCACATGGGCTGAGCTACACGATGTCTGTCGCATGTGTCACAAAAGCATCCCTCATTTGGCATTTGCCACGTAAACTGTGTGCTATGTCCCAATAGGGTTTGAGAGTGATGCCGTCAGAAGTTAATAAATATCGACTTCTGGGCCGAATTGGATGCACTCTGTTCAAAGTGAAGTAGTGCATCCGGTGGACAGACCCCTCAGGTTACATGCTGGTGTGACTATTTTCAGTTCCAGAACCAGGTCCCTGGCCAGGAGCTAGCTTAATTGGGCCGGGTCCAGTCATTACCGGTGGATGTATCTCAAGGAAATCACCCAACCCCATACATGTATGAATCCCGGTACCAGAATTGTATCCGATTGGATGCAAAAGTCTGCGATGTCATGACTCTGACCTGCCTGCTGTGAGGCACTGTGTGGACATTGGAATCCGTTGAGAAGTGAAGCGGCCATGCAGCCGTGAGCACTGCTGGTCCATTTTGTTTACAGTGTGTACGTGAACTACAGTGCACTGATGTACCCTGTACATGCTAAAAGCAGTAAGGGCAACGGCCCCGGTCATCCCATCGGATTTCAATGTCCACGGCAGTAGCACGTGCAAGCCCTATGGCCTATGACCCGCATCACATGACAATACTCACGTGTACACCATGCTGCCCCTAATCTCAATGTGCTCTTTGTTCCAGAACGCACTGCCATACATGTGGATGGCACCGGAAACCTTACCAGTAGCTGAGAACCATGGCAGCATGATCTTCAATGAACTCACAGACGTGTAAGTATAGCTACAGCGAAACTTCCATATGAAGTACCCTTGATAGAACATACTATGGGACACAAAGTACAGTCAGACCTCGCTTATTCGGTCCTCTTTAATCCGGATCCCTTGCCATCCGGACGAAAATAGCTGGTTACAGATGTACAGCATACGTGATGCATCAAACATAACCGGTGTTTGATTATCCGGTTCCCTCGCCTATCCGGATATTTTAGTGGGAAACGGATGTGTGTGTGGTTAAGCGAGGCATGACTGTATTGGCCTTAAGGACCCTGCACTATGCTCAACATGTCACAGTACCAGTCACTCTTGTCATCAGATATTTCAATATCTTCCTGATCAGTTACAGTGAACGTATCAGGAGGTGGTGTGTTATACATTGCCCTGATCATGTCTCACTCTACATTAAAAACAATACTGTTGAGTTGCCTGAGTGTACCAGAGAACAGTTTAAGTATGAGCATTTAAATCTCCTAACTCCGGTCATTATCCTGCGTTGTCCGGAAGTGACTCACTTGCCATTGTCTTGGGTATTCCAGGTTCTTAGTTCTCTCTCTCTCACTCACTCACTCACTCACTCTCACTCTCTCTCTCTCTCTCTCTCTCTCTCTCTCTCTCTCTCTCTCACTCACTCTCTCTCTCACGCGCGCGCGCGCGCTCTCGCTCCGAGGCTCTCTCTCTCTCTCTCTCTCTCTCTCTCTCTCTCTCACTCACTCACTCACTCACTCACGCTTCTACTTGCCTATTCAGGTAGGCCGTTTGCCTGCTGTGTATTGGTGTGATGTTCTTCCATTTCATGCAGTTGGTCATATGGTGTTGTTCTGTGGGAGATTGCCACCTTGGGTAAGTCAACATGCTCTAGAGTCTATCCTGATGCAAGCAGAAGTTCCCTACATTTCGAATGTGGCACAATGCAGCTATACCGCGTAAATAAGTCACTTCAAGCCAAATTTGAATGTGGAATTTGAAGTGCAAAAAGTAATTCGAACTCTGTCATCATACAGAACAGCAGTTTAGAGTACAGTGAATATGCTCTTCGGACATTTATTTCGAAGTGCGAGGGAGTTGTTCTACCTGCTGCAAGTGCATCCGTTTCCCCTTCCGTCCAGTGGGGAGCATGTCTAAAAGCATTACCTTTCGTTGCTCAAGAATGGTCCTAGACCGGCTAACTGTGCCTGCCGGGTCCACGAGTGTACGGTGGAATATCGCCGCGAGATACCCCAGGAACCACCTATCATGGTTCTGTACTGGGATGTTCCTGATAACAGAATGCATTCCAATGTGTTTCTGGCGCTGAACAAGTATCACGATTCTGGGCTTGGAGATGTTCTTTGTTGGGAGTTTTTTTTCACTGCACAAACCATGCCGTTGTGTACTGGTATTGTTTTTCAAAAGCAATCCTGCTTGTTGGTCACAGGGAGTGCTTATAAGTTGCAGTTGACTTCAGTCTAACTCCAGCTGCAGTGCAGCTGGTGAAATGCGCTCTCCATCACGCTAGTGGTGGCTCACGTAACTACACTCAAACAGTACGCTGTCTTCTCATCCTGCTGCAATGTTATAGGTGAAGTACCGTACGGCCGCAACACACCTCTCCACACGCTGTACATGAGCCTTAAGGCCGGACACCGCTTGAAGGACCCCGGCACGTGCAAGGAAATGTAAGAAACGGATAGCATCGAGACTGGTATTCGTGTGTTGTGTGACAAAGTAACGTATAGACACTGTTCTGTGTGTGATTCCCTGTGGTGAAAGGCACTATTAAAATGTTCAACTCCTGCCAGATATCCAAATCACACCATCAGCAGATGTAACATGACGTCATTGATTTTACTATCTTATCCGTAGTCTTTGCAAATCTGGATCAAAGAGATTGTTATGAATTTGGAAATGAAATGTTCTGTTTCTGCCGAGGCTGCACAGGCGTAAGATGATGGTGAATTGCTGGCATGATGATCCGTCGGAACGACCAACATTCACCAGACTACGCCAGTACTTTGCTTCAAAGCTGGAGAAAAGAGAGGTATGCAGTCCTAGGCTTACCATGCAGTATAATTATGGCTTGAGATCAGAGTTACAGGCCGCATGTGATTGTTCTCTTGGTGGGTAACATTCACAAATTATTGATTTCCCGGTTGACTTTGTCCCTTTGTGATTTTTCTCTGGTGTGCTGCGCAATGCTATGATTTCCATTGTGACGGAAAGGACTGGGAATACATGAGACTGCTGGATGACTCATCCTTCGGCACGGTTGATGTCGTACCTGAGGGTACAGGCGAAGAGGAAAGCAAGCTGTCCTACCATGAGAAAGAGGGCTGAGAAGGCGATGAGGGACTGCTTATGCCGACTGCCAATAGAGAACTGCCCGTCCTGACAAGGCAATCTGCCGTCGCTTTGCTTTGCTTGGTGACTACGAGTCGTCACGTGTACACATCATCAGCCCTTGCTAAAGTGTGTATGACAATAACTATGGACTATCTTTTGCTGACTGAGTTCAGAATCAGAACTGAATGATGCATTTTGTTTCTAGGTCGGACACAAGCACATTATCGAATCTGTGTGTACATTTGGCTGTGGCCTATCTCAGCACCAGTCTGCCTTTCACTAAGTTTCATGCCAGCATAAAATGACCATTGAATTTGCAGCGAACACTCTTCCCTGCAATACTTCCCTCACATAAAACACATAATCATTCGAAATTATTACATTTTCTGCTGTACTATTTTGACCACACCCGAGCTCATGACTTCTTCTTCGTTGTGTTTTCGTTTTCTTGATTTTCACATGATCATATTCATCCACCGTAGGAACTGCAAGTAGCCTCAGCTATCCCGGAGAGAAGGCAGAAATGCCTGTACCCTAGCTGTTCATTTCCACCGCAGCACACAGCGGGTTTTGCCGAGAAACGCGATGAAACGATTTCAATTGCAGAGCTGTGAGTTCTCAATGCACTTCTTCTGTCCAAGTCAATGTTTCTTCATCAGTTAGTTAGTCATATCAGTGTTACACATTCATATGTTACATTACTAGTACTTGCGTGCATAACAGCACGGCAAACCCAATAAATTGAAGATGAATACTTCATATTTATGTTGGCGGTCACATTCTCTCTTTTTTGCTTCTTCCAACGCCACGTCATAATCAGCTTTGCCGCATCGTGCTGTTTCCATTTTAGTAATTGCATGTTATCCAATCATGCATTGTGTTGATCAATACTCTTACGTATCCCACTGCTCCGCTGTGCACTGCTACGATGTGTACAAGAGTCATCTAAGCGCGTGTCCATCAAGCCAGGCGTGTACACAGTTATAGCGCCGAGTGCGGGCACATGTGATGCCAATCTCATCTGCCTCATGTGCTGACACGTTGGTGGCACTAGGAATACTCAGATGTGGTTCTCAGTTGGAACTGGACTTGATGGCTATAAGTGCCTGCTTGAAGGCCGGGTGACACTTAGGGTTGTGACAAGTTTCCCTATGCATCCTTGACATGCATGCGGATCTACAATACGTACGAACCTCCCTCTGTTTTCACTGCTGAAATACAAGTTGGAACAGCTAAGGACTCCCTGGCATTGACTACAAGGCCAAGGCACATGCCATACATTTCATACCTGGATCCGAGTACACCGCATGCTCAGTGGGAGTTTGAACTGCATCCATAGTACACTACGCTATCATGCAGGACTCAAGTAACATCATGCACGTCTACAGGTCTACAGGTAGAGCGCTGAGCAAGAGCGAGGGCCAGAGAAATTGGTTGCCATGAACAAAATTACGGTACCGCATGTACTTAAAAATAGCACCGACCAATGCAGAGCCTTTCCATTCGACACTCGGCTACCCACTTGATTGCGACACTGCTGCGTGGGGCAAAATACACCTTCAACTTGTCCAGCACATTCTCCGATAGCAACGGTTACCTTGGCCGCATGCAGGCATTGCCAGATACAGGCCCCAGACCGTCTGTCACTGCACTGAGCATTGGTGCAGGGTGCTAACGCATTCATGAGAACGGTTTCATTGAGTCCTTGCTATAGATGGTATTCTCTGGAGGACGGGACGTGTTTTTTTTGATTATTCAAGTACCTTTCCACCATTCAGACAATGACAGCCAAGCCAAACTGACGTCAACATCCCATCTGGCAAAAACTACACACACACACACACCATTGCCTCATCCGTATGGGCATTACACACGCACGCACACGCACACACACACACACACACACACACACACACACACAAACACACACACACACATAACGGATATGTTTACACAACTGTTCTACCAGAGACAGCACAACCTCCACTTCGCTCTAGTTCCGAGGCCAACAAACAACTAAGGGATGTGATTCCAATTACCGGAAACATCTACATTATCCGGCTCACCAAGAGAACTGCATTTCAGCCAGAACACCAGCTTCCACTGATAGTCACACTCTACAGACTGAGCAGCTGTGCAACTCCTTCTGGCATAGATGATCTGTAGAATAAACTCGGCACCCACAAACAGTACAGTCATGTACATCATTAATTTAGACATTGGTACGGAAGGTACAGCCATGGCCGCCGTAACAGTTTTTTTTACCAGTTCTAGTTCTTTTTTTTCGTGGAATGTCCAGTGTGTTGTTGAAGTACTAAGAGTGCGTTCTTAAATCCTCTCGGAAAAGTTGGACACTCTCTGAAACGTTCGAGAGCTGTTCTTATATCCTCTCCGAATTTCAGAAGGCTCTCCAAAGCTCTCCAAACTTCAGAGGTGGTTGAAACTTGGAGATTCCCGTGGTTTGGGATCAGCACATGCGAACTACAGCTAAAAGCCACGTGTTGATCATGAGTGTACACATTTCCCCTTTCGCATACGCACAATGCATACTACATTTGTGGCACTCAAGATTGCGGCCCCTTTGGCGCTTCATATTGCATCACATGTGCAAAATATCTCCGAATTCTTCGAGAACCGTTCTTAAATTATACCAGATACTTCGACTTCTCTTTTATTCTTCTTCGAGAAGCTAGAGAATATAAGAATGCACCTTAACAATAGTACATAACCAAGAGTGTGCAACTTAAAGATCCCCCAGACCACGGCGAAACTTTTTTGTGACAGTCTTTCGCGGCAATTAATCACTGATGCCATGATGCGTAGCCAGAGAGCAATGTACAAAGTACATGGTAGCTACAGTAGTCGAAGCAGAACAACGGGCGGTAGATCGATGTGTCCTGAACCTGATGAATTCTCACCGTATTTACAAAACAGGCGCGGAAAGCATACGCGCTTGATCATGCTTCTGCCAAAGAACGACGCAATAAAACATTCCGCCGTGGGTGAACCCATCACAGCTCGAGATAGGAGTTTCACACTCTTGGTTGTGTACTCTTGGTACCAGTAATAAGCTATCCGCGCACGACAAAGTACACTAGAGCCTCACCCTCCAACACTGTTCTTCTTGTCCAGTGGGCACTTCTGCGCTAGCTATATCTGTAGCTAGCGCAATGCGTAGCGGAAGCAACCAGATCATGCATGGAGTTAGAGGTGCATTCTTCCATGACACACGTACTGAAACTGGACATGGGTATGTGATCGGCCAGGGGCCAACCCACCCAGGAGCCAGCTCAGGGCCTGCTCCCAATCCTTCATCAGCACAGACAGTTAGACTGCACAGTACGCCTGAATTGCAAAACAACGCAGAGTCGCGATTCGAGGAAACTTCGCTCTACAAACCCCGAGCTCTTTGCACAGTTTACAAGCGGTCATAAATTACAGGCAAAAATGAGCCCTGAATATCCGCTACAATGCCAGAAACACCAGAGGCCAGACCTCAAACGTTCCTGTACATGCACATGCGCTACAATTTACTTTAAAAAGTTGTTCGTATTTTTGCAATGAAGGCATTATCGGCACTTCTCTCAAAAAACTTACGTAGCATACAAAGAGGGACAGCTGATGTGAAACTGGCTAAACTAGCAAGACATGGGTAGCAGCAAGATGAGTTTAGATATGTACAGAAGTTAGGACTTGCGTGGGGGAAAAAAGCATACAAACCCATGCCTTGAGATGGTGGTTTATACAGGTGTGAATACATACAGTACTTGTAACTTAGATGTTCGCTCGCCTATCCACAAAGAAGCTCCTCAGGATGTAGACTTCCAGGATGCTGATGACGACCAAGATGATGGCTTCTGCCAGGGATAGGTAAGCTACGATTTCGTTAATGGTTTCGGCATGGTCGCGGCCCTGAGACTCTCTCAGGCGAAAGTGAGTTTGGTAGTCCACTGCAACCTTGAGTCTGTCGTGGATGTACATGGTCGATGACTCCAGGGCAGTGAGTGCCTGGTGATGGCTGACTGGTAGGTGGTCTTCAGCATCTCCCAGCACCCAGTCAAAATACACTGTTTTACTGCTCAGGCTGGTGTGAGAGAAGCAGGCAGCATACACACCACCTACGGCAGCAGTATGGTGGATCGAGTCGTACTGCTGCTTCTGCTGGTTGTAGATTTCCTTGTTGTCCGGTCCATGCAGCGACAGATCAATGTGGTAGTCACTTCCTTCTATTACTTGATACTCAAATGTGAATTTTGTGTCAGTTTTGATGTCCTCATGAAAGCACATCTTATTCGGAATCTTTACTGTCAACTCCACAGTCCATGCTGCTGGGAATAATGCCGCTAAGACGAGACAGATCGTCACAAAACTAAGTCGGGCTTGAAGCTCCATAGCTTCAGCGACGAGGCTCCAATCGGCTACAAAGGAAAATCTTCCAGGAAAATTAGTCCAACATACCTCACAACATCAAAATCTCTGTACAAATGAACGTACTTTTTTTGTTCTCAACGACGTTATCGTAAAATTACGTGTCGTTCACAAAGCGAACGCAAAGCATGCACACATCAGCTCAGCTTTTTCATGGGTGACGTCATCAAGAACACAGCCATTTTCAATTATTTTTGTAGCTCTGCTTTCTGCCATTCTGGTTTTTGGTGTTTTTTTCACCGTACCTCTTGTACGGGCAAAATAACACATTAATTTTGTGAAGAATCAACACAACTACATAAAAAGAATCATCAGATACAGTAATGATTATAGAGTCACTGCACTTTCTGGTTTTTGGTAGACCTACGATCGTAGATTCTACGAAGGGGCCGGGGGTCGTGTACGAGTCTACAGATGGAGTTGCTTACCTCTCTTTCTTTCTTATCTTTTCTTTTCCTTCTTCTCTCTCTTTGTTTGCCACGCGGCAACCCCGTGTGCTGTCTGTGACTTTGAGCCTCATTTCACTGTCACGGCTACTTTTTCTCTTTTACGTTTATTTATACCCGGCGTGGGCCATCCCCTCTACCTATGCTATAGTAATTATGTAGGTGCCACCATTAAAAAAGTCACTGATTGATTGATTGATTTTTATTTAAGGATTGTCCAAAGGCCGCAGACCGGGCCTATCGAGGGGCTCTCCTGTGTACTGATGACCAGGGAGTCGTAAAATACCGGTATTTACGACTCCTTGCTGATGACCGTCTGTATAAAAGTAACTCTCCCCCCCCCGACCCAATGACCATGATGACGGTCTTGAACTACATGTAGTAACGTAACCGCTGTTACTGTGACTTCATCCTTGCGACCAGCCTGGGGAGTCTTGGTATTCAACTCCCTGCTCAGTGACAAGCTGGCACAAAATTAACTTACATACCGCCGACCCGGGTCACAGTACTGGTATGCACCTACTAATAATGATAGCAAATGAATACGGTGAAATGAAGGGTGATAGTCAACTCTGACCACGGCAAGCACTTGGCGGAAAATGCTCGAAAAATTTGCAGATTCTCCTCGAAAAGCAGTGAAATTCAAGTGGCGGCACCATACAAACCTTTAACCTTATGGCAGGCAACTCCTCGAATTTTGCTACGCATTTCTTTATCCTGGTACATACAGGCTGGACTTGCACGAAACACACCGTGCGCACCCGGAAAAGCATCAAATTCTGCCGGCTTTATCAGCCAAGGCCGGTTCAAGTGGAGTTGTGCACCCAAGAACGTTGTTGTAACTTTAGCCGGGAAGTTGCTCGGGACGGTTCTTACTGTAAAAGCCATATATATAACGAAGTGCTAACTCTAACGAGTTAACGAGGAGAAATCTGTCGTTAAAATAGAAATCGTTATACAGAAATCGATACATATAGTCCTGATGAGCGTTGAAAATATGTAAGAATCGTTACCTTTGGTACGCGTAAACCAGTCAATTTTGGGAAATCGTTATATATGCGCCTCGTTAGAATAATGGTTTTTACAGTACCTTCGGCAATCTGGCTGCGTTCTATACGATATAGGCAGTGGTGCTTATAAATAGTTCGAACAGGATGATAGGATGATCTATCGCAAATTCCGCCAGAAAACTAGCACCGCTGTTCTTAACTTCTTAACTTAAAAAAAGCTCTGACGTTCTTAGCATTTGAGGCTGGGCGCCGGTTCTTTGGCGCGTGACTCTATTATAGCCGGCTTTGATTTGACATACCGTAAAGTCTTGGATAAAAGCCGCACTTGAATAGAAGCCGCCCTCGAATAGAAGCCGCAATTTTGGGCCTATCAAATCACACATAAGCCTGGTTTTAGTGTTGACACACATAGAAATACCTGTCTTGTATGGAAGCCTGTCTCATATAGAAGCCTGCAAAATTTCACCAAGAAAGTCATAGAAGCCGCGGCTTTTATACAAGACTTTACGGTATTGCTACAAGTAGTCACATGTCTTCACCGTCCCCCAAGACTGCAGTGGAAAGAATGCTAGTATCATTCTTCTATTGTTCCGTTTTATTGGCCAGAACTTCAGCCCTTGACTGCAAAAGCAAATCTGGACTGGCAAAACCTAAAAGCCGATTCATTATAAAGGGTGTCGCAAGTCGCATGTAGTCGCAAAAAATTGTGTCGTGAATCGGCCTTTAGGAAGCCCAAACTCATCACATCGGATACACGCTACTGTATCAGGGCCTGTCCATAACTATAGTTACTATAGATTGTGTTTGAATAGGGCTTTACGTAATTACGTATTAAAATCCGTATGTCGTACGCGCCAGGGAGCGAGGGCAACTTTCATACATAAATCTCCCTACGGATTTCCGTAGGAAAGCTCTTTCCTATACGTTGGGTCCTCCGTAGGACTTTTTGAAATATTTTTCGCATCTGTCCATGGCAACATTCAAGCCGCGCAAAACACAAGGTGCACACACCGTACACCACGTGCAAAATATAATGGAAAACGCGGTTTCGGTTCATGGTGCATGCTGTGGGCCGGCGCATGCAGCCAACGTGTCTCCATGTTTAGTCGTGGAGAAATCACGTCACGTAGAGCGAAACCCAACAGCCCTGATTTCTACGTATGAAAATTCCGTGCAGTTCATACGTAATTCCGTAGAGCGAAACCTCCCTAATATCCCGGAAGATTTTCTTCAGGTGTCAAAACTCACTGTACCCGCAGAAACCAGTACGCAGGGATAATTATAGATATCTCCGCATGGCCCCAAGCATGCGAGGGTGTGAAAGGTCAAGAATGTCTCGTTCAGCACTATTGCTAGTAGCAAGAGTACATAACCCCCAGAGTGTGCAACTCCAACATACCCTGCTGTCCCGACAGAATTTCAAGTTGACATCATTATTTATGACGCAAAGTCCCTTGCACCAGTAATTTACATGTGTACGCACGTGTCAACGCATCACACGTTTTTCTTTGCAATAATTTGTACAGGATCGATCGGCTTCGGTCAACCACAGGTTCCGGATTCGTCTGATGATACGTGTACAGTACGCATTGCATCATCAAAATTAAGTCAACTTGAAATTCTGTCGAGACGGCACCCATAGTGGAGTTGCACACTCCAGGGGGCTACATGTATGTACTCTTGCTAGTAGAGGAGGACAGCAAGGACCACATTCACATTCAGTCCCTACCAATATGCAACTCACTACATACAGTACGGCTAAGCCAAGACCAGAGAGAGTTCCACAACATGCATGTCGAGTCATTGCAATGTGCCAGATGCGTCAAGCCCATGGATCCTTCCAGGAGTAACATGCGAACTGTAACTATTTTTATTATGTGACAGACAACCCATGGCACACGGACCGCTATAATGTGATATGGAAGGTGCCCATGATCGGAAACAAGCTAGAAGCGAATCAGCAGACCATACTAGCACACATACCCGAGACCACAGTGCAACCATACAGTTCCATTTAAAAGATCTTCCAATCAGATTCGACAGAGCACAGTTTACTTAAGAGGAATGAATCGAGAAGAGTGGGTGGCACCAATACCGGGACGGCCGTGCTTGACAGGCTTGTAGGTTATGGAGAATTCACCAAGGTAGTGGCCAACCATCTCAGGCTGTATTAACAACAGAACACAAGGCAAATATATAATTAGTAGAGAACTCAACATACATGTTCAGGAAGTAGCAAACTGCCTGGATTTTGAAAAAAATGCCAATCCCATTAGGACTCATTGCATATCACGAGCAATGCTCAACAATCTGAGTGATGGGATTAGGCAAAATCTAGAAAGCAGTGGCAAGTTTTTCACTCCAAACGCAGGTCACAGCACAATAAGAACAGTGCAATTAATATCACAAAAATATAATGCCAAATACAACATGAAATCAGTGCCATGAAACACAAACAGAAGTAACCTACAGTCCATTTCAAAACTATAGACGCGTGGGTTTTTTGAAATATTTCAAATTTGGCTGGAGCCTTTTGAGAATATTGCTCAGGTCCGCTCCACAATTACTCCCATATAGTTTCTAAACGATTGGATAACAGACGCCCAATTTGGAAAAAAATTATGCACAAAGTGATCACAGATTTTATGTGATATAGATGCTGGCATAACGGTTTTTGCCTAGGTACACGTCTATAGTTTTGAAATGGACTGTAAGCTACTTCAGAACTCAGTCTAATTAACGGCGGGCTTGTTGGGACACACGCACAGGCGAGCCAAGGACTATAGTAAACTGATCCGCAGAGGACCATTGAGAAGTCTCATCCAGGTCAACGGCAGCACACCGCTATATCAACTACAATCAGCACTGCACCAAGTTGTGCACTATAGCCACATCAGGTGCGCCGTCTCTTCAATCAACTGCTATTTGAGGGAGCGGGCAGCTGCAATACGAACAGGCCCCCAAGGCTTAGGTCCCCATACAGTCAGCGATATCCAAACGATGTGTAACACCATAAAGGTGCAAACTCTGCTCACTCCACTGCAAGACCGGCTAGCTGTATCCCAATGTAGCTGCAAAGGCTGGTCAGCCCAAACAAGACTACACGGTACTCCAGGACAGGACACATTCCATTCCATGCTGCGCGACTAGTCCAGGAACGTTACGTAGCGTAATACTGACTGCTGCCTCGATATGCTGTGCACAGTCATTATTCATTATTTTTCAAATGAACAATTACTGAATACAATTTTTTTGCAAAAAAGCGAAGTAAAAATTTGTAGATAGAATGAAACAATAACCATTACTACCATACTAGCTCGTACTAGAATACAATCAGCTAAAGAGACCTCACCTTGACTTCGACCTGGTTGAAAACCTTGCCGTTGTACACACCAACAACGCTGCCGATCATTTCTGGGACAATGATCATGTTACGAAGGTGGGTCTTGACGACCTCTGGCTTCTCCATGGGAGCAGCTTCCTTCTTTGCCTTACGGAGGCGCTTCATGAGCTGAAGGGGCTTTCTCTTCAGACCACGGTTGAAGCGTCTGCGAGCACGGCAGTGAAGCAATCCAGTCAGCTGGTCGCTGGATAGATCCAAAAGTTGGTCAAGATCAACCCCCCGGTAGGTGTACTTCCGGAAGGTCCTCTTCTTCTTGAGAGCAGCCTGCTCCTCCTATAGCACAAAAACACACACAGGCGCCGTCCATTACTGCTAGATTGTCCAGAATGGCTAAAAAAACTCAAATTTTCCTTCACACTCACTGGGGTCGACATCTTGGAAGTCCTTCTTGTCGGGAAAGGAAGGATTGCGAGTTGCGCGCATGCTCATAATCGAATATTCGTTTCCAAGGATAAAATGGCGGCGAAATTGGGCGAGTTCGCTGCGTAAAAAATATTTCACGGAGATGACGTCATTATCTTCTTTATTTCACAGGAATGTTTTTTTGTAGTACGTGTCGTATGCAAGCGCAAGCACATGCAGCATGGGTGCAGCATGCAGTAGCTATCTGTCGATATTTTTTGGTTTGAAAACAATGGTTTGAACAATATTGTTCCTTCTCCATCTATCTCGAGACCGTGTGGATGCTTTCTTTAGGATTCAGTGAACAGTAAAATGATCAGGATGACTAGACTTTGAGATGGACTTCCTCAATCCACTCAGTGATACATTCGCCAGATCCAGGGCTGACCAATCATCTTCAGCTGTTGGTGGCTTCATTTCTTCACTCCTAGTTGACGATTACGACGATGAGGCAGTATGGCAGCAAGTTGAGATAACCTACAAAAAGTTATGCAACAGAATCAGCAGGCGGGATAGTGGCCATGAGTTTTCTCTTGCTGAAGTGAAAGGAGCGTTGCAGCAGAAAAATAATGCGGCTGAAAAGTTTGTGTTGAAAGGCAGACAACAAAATGGCCTCGCTGACAATGCAGATGATGATGATGATGATGATGATGATGATGACGACGACGATGTGGAGCCATCATCTGAAGAGGACGAGACTTCAGACAAGAAGGTGGAGAAATTCATTCCCCGGGGCGAGGAGGGTGTGAAAAAGGGAGTCAATGACGGCTTCTTTAATTTGGATGAAATGAATGCTTACCTCAACCGACAGGACGGCCTGGAAGAGAAGCGTGGTCTCCAGAATAATGCTGATGAGGATGATGATGAGGAGGATGAGGATGAGGATGATGATGAGGAAGATGATGAGGAAGATGATGAGGAAGATGATGAGGAAGAAGAGGGAGTAGAAGAGGACAGTGGAGAAGATGAAGATGGCGATGAGAGCGAGAATGAGATGGAGGATGGCATGGAAGGCATGGAGGAAAGTTCAGAAGACATGAGTGACGCCCAGGGTAGTGATATGGACAGTGGTGTGGAAGATCAGGATATTGCGGAGGATGATGAGAACATGGAGAGCATGTCTGCTCATGAGAGACGTCAGTACAAGGTATGTGTAACAGTAGAATTGGTTTGGTCTGCCTTCTGTACAGCAGCATGCCTAAGTGCCACACAATGAGAGCATTTGATTACTGTAAAACCGGAAAGTTTAAAGGGGAAGTTAAGGCAAAAATTAAAATTTCACCAATTGTAGTCTTCGGGGTGCTGAGTCGAATGGTCTTGGTCCGAGAAAGCTGAGACGCTCCCTTCCTACTTGAATCCCAATCAAACTCGCGCACTTCCACCGAAACTGGGTGACTGCGCCCTACTAGATGGGGATTTGTATGCAAAATGTCACTAAAAGCGCCATTTCGTTCTTATAAAAGCACGGATGACCGCGATTGGCCCATATGTTGTAGTCTTTTGGACGCTGAGTCGACTGGTTTTGGTCCGAAAAGGCTTCGATGCAGCGTTCCTCCTTTATTCCCAATCGAACATGGTTGAACAAGCGGTCACGTGCTCCTGGGTGCCCAAATCACCTGGTCACCGCGCCAGCAGGCGACAACTTTCACACCAAGGTTCAACTCGAGTTCAACTCGAGTGACAGGACTGCACCCAAAAAAGGTCAAACAGGCTAGTAAGTTGTACCCTGCAGGCACGGTGACCAGGTGACTGGTGTACGCAGGAGCACGTGACCGCTTGTTCAACCATGTTCGATTGGGAATAAAGGAGGAACGCTGCATCGCAGCCTTTTCGGACCAAAACCAGTCGACTCAGCGTCCAAAAAACTACAACATATGGGCCAATCACGGTCATCCGTGCTTTTATAAGAACGAAATGGCGCTTTTAGTGACATTTTGCATACAAATCCCCATCTAGTAGGGCGCAGTCACCCAGTTTCGGTGGAAGTGCGCGAGTTCGATTGGGATTCAAGTAGGAAGGGAGCGTCTCAGCTTCCTCGGACCACGACCATTCGACTCAGCACCCCGAAGACTACAACTGGTGAAATTTTGATTTTTGCCATAACTTCCCCTTTAACCCTTTGGCTCCCCCATAACTCCACTATTTAGCAATAGCCATAATTTTCGCTCAAATTGTGTGGACTTTTGGTCATAACTTACGTTCTAGTAGCCTGATTTCCACATTCTTGGGCTCTCCGGAAAGCTCTTCTCAGCGCGAACACAATGAGCCATCACCGAGTGAAATCAGAGAAGCAGGCCCAGCTCTACAGCCCAGCGAAGGTACCACATCGCTGGGAATGCCCTCAATCCCTTTCTTCTTCAGCCATTTCAATTTCCTTGCTCGCCCAGCTCTGATTTTTTTTGTACTGCCGTAGCAGGTAGCCTGCACCATGATTTACGCAAAAAAATTCATCACAGGTACTTGAGAACAAGGGGAATTCCCCGGTTCATGCTCGAAAATGTGCTCGGAACGAGAAAAATGCCGTCCTCCAACTTTCGACCGCGATATCTCAACAACCGTTGGAGCTATCGTGAAAACGATTGCACCAACGGAAAGCTGAGGACTTCAGCTACACCCTACATACTTCAATTTTCACGACAGTGCACTATTTGAATGAGTTATGGCTGTTTGAAGTCATCGACGGAATACCGTCGAAATTTGTATAGTGGGGAGCCAAAGGGTTAACGACCAAAAGTTTAACGTTTTTGTAATTTTGGCATGATAACGAGCAGGAAGTTAAACGATGGCTACCTGGCCACCCATCTGTATGCGCATCTTTACACAGACACCTCAAACCGGGTTCGCGATAACGTTTCTTCAAATAACGAAAAAAGATTGGTCGTTCAAATGTTAGACTTTCCGGTTTTACAGTACACACAGTTCTACCCACATCCATTCTAGAATCTGTTACCATATATGTACCATTCGACTACACAGAATTTGTCAGCGGAGTCCACGGAACCCAATACCGCCCATACTGAAGTGAAGGTGGAGTTTCCGATTCTACCGCCAGAATTTACGCATGTGGTGTACGCTTTCTTGACGCCACGCTTGTCTAGTGTACGTACACATGTACAGTAAAAAAACAGCCCTAACTGGATGCCCTTGGTGCAGTGGAAACTGTCCTGATATGACAGGATTCCGCTTGATCCAGGCATGCACGTTCCATCCACAGCACTGTGCATGAAAATTTGTCTGGTCAATGGCAATGCAGGATTCCGCTTGGTACAGGGTCTGGCAAACACAGGTCTTACTGTACAGTACATGTGGTACAAATTTGTACAAATAATTGTATACGTGAACCCTTTCCACCTTTTGGTCGAGTGGATCATGAGTATAGAATTCACGGCAAATTCCTGTTTGTCACATGGTCGTAATCCTCTCGTTCTGGTCAATCGGGAATTTTAAAATCTGAGTCCAGAATGTGTAATCGAACACGTCCAATGGCTGTACATGTAGGGCTTGGAAGTGATGACGTCAGAAGTCAACAAATAATGACTTCTAGGTCAAATTGGATTCCCTCTGACCATAGCAAAGCGGTACTGGCAGTGGGTCCCCTGCCGGGAGGTCCCAGTCCAGTCAGTACCGACGGATGTGTTGCCTTGCTGTGAAGAGAAACCGCCCAAACGCATACGGACCCAGGTCCAAGTGGCTCCATAAGTCAATGTTGTCTATTCGTCATGACTCCGGCCTGGCGGTGACGAAGCACTTTCAAGCCCTGTTGTAGTACTGGTCGCGGCTGTCACTAGAAGCCAATGCGATGTGCTTGGAATAGGTACGATGTATACCGCTGTTCCCATTCGTGTCTGTGTGCAAAGTCATTGCTGTGAGAAAGCGCCCCAGTCCTTTCCTGTGTTATTGTGATGTTTGGTGGCGGGCTAGCGTTATGTGTATTCTATTGACATCCTATTTCACGAGCCACGTATTGATCTTGGGCGCTTGTGTACTGCAGCTTCGCAGGGAGATGTCCGAACTGGAGCAGCAAAACTTGGCGCCCAAGTCATGGGAAATGTCTGGAGAGACAACTGGCCTAGCACGGCCCGCCAACTGTATGCTTGAAAAATTTATGGAAGTGGATAACATCGCAATCACTGGTAAGTGATGTGGGGCATGTACTCTTGTACGTTACTGTAAAAGCAGGAATTTTCAGTGGTGTAAGATTTTCGGTGTTTCCCAAAATAAACGGTTCAGTAGCGCGAAAATTTCCGTAAACCAGTTGTCCGTACTGCAGTCGGCCTGTATGTATTATAGCCTGTATGTATATTTTCGGTGTGTTTTATTTTCTGTAAAAATTACCTGTACCGAAGTTACCGAAAATAAAAACACCACCGAAAATTTCTGCTTTTACAGTAACTGTCTATGCCACTGCCTGAAATGCTGACACCTGATCGTTATTTAAACATATTAATCTCAGTCGATCTCAGTACAAGAGTACAGTGCCTTTAATTGTCTCGTACTTTGATCTGGTTACGTTGGTGGACAGTAAGGGGGCGTTCGTTTTTGATCTACAGGTTTGGGTAGAAACTACTTCTTTCGGTAGAGGTGTTCGTTTTTTCTACTCAAAAGGGTAGATTCTACTTTCCTCTACCGGCTCTACTAGGAAAAGTTGGTAGAAGCCGGTAGAAGTTGGTAGAGCTACGGGATTTCCGGCGAAATCAAGGATTTGTACACAACTCCATACAGTAGAGAAACATTTCACGTACATATAGTGTAAACTACTAAATCCGGTAGAATAGCGTTCGTGCACTTACCTCTACCATCTACCTATATCGGTAGAGTGACTCTACTCTACTCTACCATGTAGCTAAAAACGAACGCAGCCTTAGTCATAACTCTTAAGATTTTTGGCCTTCTCCTTTTTTACCATAATTGTCTAGGACTTTGTCCTCTCTACTTTCTTGAAACTATGGTAAACAATTAATTTTTCGTGATTGATTAAAATTCACTGATTTCGCCGCTTTGTACCAGCCAACCAAATTAAATCGCCGTCAGAAATATGTCACAGATGCGAGTGTTGCAATATTATTCCGGCATGTGACACCAAGCACCAAAATTGTTTCTTTCTGGAAAAACCCAGAGGGCCAAAGTTTGATGATGGCCAAAAGTTCTTTTTCAAGATTGGCCAAAGTTTCTCACCAGCGAAAGTTGTTGATTTACAGTATTTGATTTTTATACTATCCATTATGTTGTTGTGTTAGCCCCAGTACCCACGGACGAAACGACTAAAACACTGGAAGACAAAATCATCCAAAGAATTAAGGATCAGGTGAGGCATGAGCTCCCGTCTTGCGTTGCAATAAGGTGTTATAGTGGAATTCGGTTGAGGTTCTTATCATTCATCTGCTGTGCATACCACTTTGGAATCTGGAAGAGTGTTGCCTTTTTCGATTTTCGAACGTTGTTAACCCTTTACCATCCGACCAAAATTCACCAGCAGTCCCAAATGCAATAATTTTCACTTTATTCTGAGAATATCTCCAGTTCTAATCAACCAATTTTCACAAACTTGGGCATTCTGGAAAGCTCTCCACGAGCTGCGTCCATTGAGCTCAAACAGGACACTACCAAGATCATATATCCAGCGCCAGGGAGCTTCAAATACACCCCATCGCTTGATATACGAGGAAATCTCTCCTCGCCAGTCATTTCTCGCTCCTTCATCGTAAACAATCCAAATTTTTTGCTTGAGTTTCTTTTCATGCTGCCCACGCACTCAAAGCATGCCAAAGTGACTCAGCATGTCAGGAGAGGGGAAATTCCCCGCTCAAGATCAGTCACTCGGAAAGAAATTCAACTTTTGCCGTGGCCGAAATGTCGAGTGGAATATCTTTGGAATGCGACATCGCAGCTCTTCACCGAATGATGCAATGGAAAGCGGAGCTCTTCGGCTTCTTCCTAGATACTTAGTTATTTAAATTCCGCCAAGAATCGATCGAGTTACGAATGTTTTAGTGTATGCATGTCCATCGATCTCTAGAGATCGATTCAAGTACGCACGGATGGTAAAGGGTTAAGCCTGTAGCCGTCATTTGTAAGTTGAACCGAAAATTTGTTCTTGGTGTTTCTGGACTTCAAACTCTACTGTACCCCAATGAATGTTGAATTAACAGTGAACAGTCTGGTGCTGTACACGACATCGCCCAATAATTGTGAAATGCACATCTTGATATCACGATTCAGGAAAGGTGCTTTAGATCTCATTTTGGCGAACAAGAATTGTAATAAACTTAGGTGCTCCCGATGTTGGAGCTCGTGCTTTTCTTGCCGTCTGATCCGACTGCCTCAACAATCGCCATTCCGAGCACACGAGCCTTGGCAGCTGTGAGTCAGTCAAATCAGTTGACAAAAAAAGTGAAAGATTCAACATCAGGAGCCGCCAACTTTTACCGCCGAAGTCACCACCATCAATTCGTAAAGAGTCTTCAAACTTATAACAGGGTTGATTTGCTCCCCACACCTAAATTGTATTGTGCTGGAATGTGTTGAAGTACAATTTGCCCGCTTTTGGTTCATGGATATCGTTGAAGATCTCAATGATCACGTTGTTCACCATTGTCCTTGTTGCTGCTTCTATTGCAGGCATGGGATGATGTTGTCCGAAGAGAGAAGCCCACTGAAAAGCCGTACGAGTACCGCAAGTCGGCTCCACTTGACCAGGAGAAGAGCAAACTCAGTCTCGCTCAGGTGTATGAAAAGGAGTTTGTTGACAAAATGCAGGTAGTTTACTGTTGGCTATAGAGACATTGAAGCATTTGTAATGCTCAATGAATGTAGGCTACTTCTGCTGGTGATACTCGCCATAGAGATCAGCTGTAGAGTTGTTGTGCATAGTTGTCTTGTGATTGCATGGGCGGAGTAAGCAGTCCATGCGCCAGATTCGGAAAAAAAGTCGTCTAAAAGTTGGCTTTTCTTTTTCCGCACTGGGCAGTTTGCATGTACTTTTTGGGTCGCTTTCTCAATGGTGGGCAATTTTTGATTATTGGTTTCATGTCCCTTGCTTTTTGTTTTGGCATTTCGCTACCTGTGCGATAGGCCTAAAAATTGCGCTTAGTCGTGGCAGTCAGACGACTTGTTTCGCTGCGGTCCGGCATCTTCGTAGGTTCTCAGCAGTCGTCGAATTCGAGTATTTTTGAAACGTTTTTTAGGGTGCAGGCGCAGTGCAAGGCTTTCACTCGCAGCCAATGGCACCATTTTGGCATAACTCAGCCCTGTGAACACGTCACCAGGCCCTCGTTAGTGTCCAGCCCATATTTCCCAAAAGACGGACTGGACTAGAAACTTGAGTGTACAGTACTGTGCAGTATGCACGTAATGACTGTATGCAATGACTGCCAGTGGCGGGTTTGGGGGGGGGGGGGGGGGGGGGCGCCTCCCCCCTCAAAAGTTTCGACCTAGGTTTCGAAAAATAAAAGGCAGGGTGCCGGGCTAGCTAGGCCCGGGGCGCGCGCGGCCTGAAACGATCGTCCAAAACCGGTTTCACGGCACGGTGCTCGAGCTGGTGTTGATTGTACACACTACAGACAAGTACAGTCTACAGAGTACAGTGAGCATTTACGGCTACAGAAACACGCTGACCTGACTGTGTACACTGTGCTGTTAATTGTACAGTGTGATCCCTGCTGGGACGCGCTTGACACGTCTTCAACGTACAAACATCGAAGAAAAGTCTTCGAGTCAACCAAACCACGATTCGAATGCCGAGGGCCCAGGCGATCATCCTCGTTCGAATCGTGTTTTGGTTGACTCGAAGACCTTTCTTCGATGTCTCAGCGACATCACAAAAGGCCAAGCTCTAGCCAGCAGAGCCTGGATGGATTTTTGCAAAGCGTTCCTGTGACAGCGCAACACCTGCTGCCGCTCCAACAGGAAACAGTGGCAGTGATGAAGTCGCTATTATTCCAGTTGAACTTTCGGAGCGGACTGACAGTCACACTCCGCCAGACGTGGAAGCACCTGTTGTCAGCGAGCAGCCAGAGCATGACAAACTGCGTACAGTGACAAGTGGACATAGTACCGCTGCCTATGTAAAGGATGCTTTGAGCGGTGAGAAATTGTTGGACTCGCATAAATTGCAGTTGATTCGCTCACATAACGGCAAATTTGAAGTTTACAATGTACAATGTTGCTGCGTGTACAGAAATACTGCTCGTGGTGTGTGAGATTTACGGCTCCTTGACATCGGTTTCAAAATGGCTGACCTGGGACAGTAGCATGATGGCATCTACCCCCACCCCATCCCGGCCGCAACCCCCCCCCCCCCCCCCCCCTCCCTCAGCCAAATCCTGGACACGCCACTGACTCCCACGAGCTACACGACAAGTATTCAGTATTCACTGCAGAATAACATTATAATGATATTCACACTATATGCCATTGTGGTGCACCGCGATACCAATGGCTGCATATTTATCGGTGATCAGTTGCCTACCGGGTCGCTGTGTTGTCGAGAACGTCACCTTTGCGGCCTGTGGAACGACACCCGACAACGGCAACCACCCCTGGCACTACGCCGAAAACTGAAGGAGCTGACTGATACGGTACATATAAAGTTAACTGGATAATGCTCATCTTCAACAAAACAAAAACAAGACATAAAACAGAGCTATGATAAACTGCCTCCAGTCACCAAAAACAAATACAATGCATTCATATGGATAGAGATTAGCACTAGTACATGGCTGGTGGTTGTACAGTAAAACCTGTAATGGCAACTACTCGGATATGGCGACCACTCGACCATGGTGACCCCTTTTCCTTGTCACGGAGCAGCTCGGATAAGGCGACCACTCGCTCAACGCGACCGACGACCACCCACCCTCGACCGCGTTGCACACTGCTACATGTACATGTACGCATTGCACTGTCTGTGCACCATGCATGGTAGATCTAGGCGTCAGCGCAGGATGAACAATGACGTACATGTACATGTTGCATGCACGACACTTGACAGGTCCGAGGCCCCCAGGCACATGAGTCGTGCATGCTATAGTAGCACAGGTGTGTGCAGTGTGATACACTGATCAAAATGACAATATCACATGTATATTTAAAAGTAAATGTGGTCACGTGACCCACTGAGCCTGGATAAGAAGACCACCTGGCCGAAGCGACCACTTTTTCTCGTCCCTTGAGTGGTTGCCCTTGAGTGGTTGCCATCTCTCCAGTGTAGGAAAGGTCTCCTGACGAGACAGGAAGGGCTCTAAGCAGCAAATTTCATTGAAATATTCGCCATTCGGAGATAGGCGAAATCAACAGAGAACAAGCCTGCAGGTGCGGCACCTTGGAGGCTACGATTCCCGGGAGAAAATAAAATCGGTCTCTCAAGGGCCTTGGCACACGTACTGTAAGTGTTCATGGTGTGTGGACAGTGCAAGTAAAAATGGGCAACGTCACATGATTCATTGGTGCAGGGATTGACTGGAGTTGTAACTAACGTGGCTTCCCCACCTGTACGGTTCAAAGTAATTTCCAGTGTGTGCTTGCTTTAAGGGGGTTCGGGACAGTTAGGCCCAAAAATTTAATTTCAACATCAGCCCAATCTGACATCAGGTTTGAATAGGTACAGCCTTATATTTTCGCTTAGTAACATCAGTTTTTCAATTGCCCGAATAGGTCTTGCCAAAAACACAATTTTCCTTGATGACACAAAATAACACAAAATCCCAAAATTGATGAGAAATCGTCCATAACATCAGTTAGGACAGAAAATATGACCTAAAATTTTACAGACTGTTCGAGGTATTGACTAAGATGATATCAACACCGAAAAATGTACACTTTGGTTGACGATGGGATCCAGGTCGTCATTTCCTGGAGAAGAACAAAAAGACGCAAAAAATGAAACTTCGAATATTTTTTGCAGCTTATTTTTGAGTTTGCCCCATATGTGGATACTTCAAATACGTTCTATAAGTGGGTTGGAACAGGTTTACCGCGGCGAAAATAGGGGTCACCGTGCATATTCTGGAGAAAAATCCGAAAAACTGTCAAAATTTGCCTAAAATTGGTAAATTCACGTATCTATATTGCTTGTACTTCTCTGCTGCTGCTTTGGTCATAACTTATTGGATTTTTGGCTGTTAGGTGTTGCATAAACTCTCTAGAGCCCTCGGCGTTCAGAACAATACAAGGATGGAATAGCTGAACTAGTAAATTTGCCGGAAAACCCTGGGTGCACGCATTTTCGATAGGTACTTTTCTCCATGATTACTCTCCTGTTGGTACTTGGTTGTGATACATGTACATGTAGCTGTGATAGCGCTTAGCACAGCCCCATATCAAACTACAATGAAAGCTGACATGTTGGAACGAATCAGACATCATTGAGTCCTCTTGTTCTTCAACTATGCGAGCTAGAACGTGTCCCAACACTGGCAAAAATGATGGTATTTTACGGTGCGCACAAACAAGTGAAGCACTGTGCCACAGGGCGTTCCTTACAGTTGGGTTGCTGCTGGTTCTTCGCTAGGTGTTCAGCCACCGCTAATATAATCTTCCTTGAGACTGTCACCCGCTTCTTACCTCCGACTTGCTCCTTCATCAGTCTGGAAATGGCTGGCTCACCACTTCGTTTGTAGGACAAGACAAAGTGCTTCATCACCAACCCACTGGCAGCTGCCCGCACTGCAACTGATTTAGAGAAGCACGTTGCTTGGACCAACGGTTGAAGGGTGGCCAGCCGCTTTTGCTGATGTTCTGCAAACTCCATCGCCGAACATGCTGATGCAAAAGTGACAGAGTTCTACAGGATACTGGCATCAGGGCGAGCTTCGACAATTTGAGCTAGGGCCGCAACATCCGCAACAGCATCATGAGCAGCGAATTCATTCCCAACGATGAACTATAAATCAATCTGAGGCTGTAGCTTGGGAGCTCCGGTATCGCGGTTTAGGGATCAGAGTGTTCACCCAGCACAAAAATGCACACCATCGACACACACACATCCGTGCACACATACACACACACACACACACACACACACACACACACACGCACACACACACACACGCACACATGCATGCTCTCACACGCAATAGAACACACGCGCGCGTACACACACATACATTCACGCACGTGTGCGTACCCACCCACATGCATGTGCACACTCATGTGCATGAGTGGAGATGCCCGCATACACATGTCACACCAGCATGCCCTGGGAGCGGTCATGCACGCGTGTATAGTATGTGTGCGAGGGCACGTCCACATGAGCGCATATGCATGTGCATGCTCATACATGCGTATGGTGTGCACACATGCACAAACATGCAGGTCTATGCAAACACACACACACTCGCGGCCGCCGCGCATACAGTGTGCTCATACATTTCCATAGCCATAGGGTGGCAATGACTCGCAAATATCATGAATAAATCTTATGAGATTGAAAAACGCACTTACCCAAAGCAGCTTTGGTGTTGCTTGTGGAAGCACGGGGGCCAGGGTGTTGAGCAGCTACAGGGCTATCTGTAATGTATCTATAAAATTCTCCATCCCACACTGCTGACACGGAATGACAAGTACGCTGCCCAGGTCGTACCTCTTCTCTTCAACGCAATCAATGAGCGCCAGAGGTTTGCCACATCCAGGATTCTGGCACGCAGACAATCACACAGCCAGATACCTGAGATGAACGATTCGTCGACCGTGAAGAGGGGCACTGAACGACCTCTTCGCGGGAGTCGAATCCAGTGGCGTTAGTGGTGGAGATCGCCCTTTCCGTTTTTCAGGAACTCGATCGATCGTTTGAGTTTGCGAAGCGTCCCCGTCCTCGGCTTCTTGCATCGTCCAGTACGCAGAATGAGAGGCCGCGTCGTGGGTGACGGATTACTCTCCCGCGTCTTCATCTCCACGACACGTCGGCAGGAGAACCGATCTATCCAAAAACCGCCAATGTCAAAACAAACCCGCAAGTCCACTAGTGGCTGAGCTTCTTCCTCAAATCTTGTCTCGACTCGAGCACGCGCTGCGAAGTCATGGTCAAACTGCTTATTTTTTTACTCGATTGTGCATGATCGCGTCCCATTTTTCCACTCCGAAAGGCATTATTTTTCAGAAAAAAATTCGGAAATCCAACATGGCGCTAACCGTCGCGAACCTCCTTAAATCATCACTACATGGATGCAGGCCAGGCCTCACTATACTGACCCTCACTGTAACGTAAATCTCACTGTAACATACGGAATGTAAATCTCCCTCCTGAAACTACATCATCTGATTCATCTCCATCGAAATTAATTCCCTTCCTGTAACACAACCTGGTATAGCGTAATTTTCGCTATAACACACTGTCCGCTTGGTTGACCAGTCTCGCGTGCAAAGAGATCTCAGCATAGAGTAAGAGGTGCAGTTGAGGGTCTTTTCCTGTCCACACCACTTTCTTCTCTTGTAATTTCTGCTCACGGCTGCATGCACTTGCTTGCATTCCTGGCATTGTCGCTGACGAAATGGCTGTATCTTGGTGTTCGTATGTTGCAGAAGGATGCACCGAAGGAAGAATCGCCGGAGATCAAGGATATTCGCCGAAGAGCCAAGCTGCTTTTTGCCAACCTTGATTCTCTCTGCAATTTCCATTATACACCGAAAACAGTAAGTTACTTGACTACTTTACATAGTATATTTACTAAGATCCTAATGTGGGAAAGGTGCTCCCCGCATAGGAGCTCGCGCTTTTCCGCCGACTGGCTTGACACTCGACTGACTCACGACTAGCATCCAGAGCACACGAGTCCATTGAACCCTCGACTCGGCCAACCTGCAAGAAAGCACCTCTCCCTGCTCAATACACAGTGTCTCGGGGAATTCTCGCCTCATCAGTTGAGCTTGAGTAGGCTGAGGAAGATTGTGTCTGAAGAGCACCACTTATAATTATAGTGCTCTCCAGCAACTTTCCTCCAGCAACTTTCTTACAGTAGAGTGGCGGCCTGAAGAACGTTGAGCCCAAGAACGTCCAGCCTGAAATGCTACGAACGCCACAGCCTAAAGTTAAGAATGGCGGTGTTAGTTTTCCGGCAGCTTTTGGGATAGATATGATTCATATGATCCGGTACGAAATGTTTCTAAGAACGTGCTATAAGAACGCAGCCAGATTGCCCAAGAAAATAAGAACGCCCCAGGCTAACCCCTTGGAAACAACGTTCTTGGGCGCTACTCTACTGTATGAAATCATCACCGAAGTCGCTACCACTATCCCGTAAGATCCTATTGTTATGATCTTTTTAAGGAGGCTCCAACCTTCTGCGCTGCGCAGCCGGTCTGGCGCTCTGTTTTTTGCAGGCAAAAGTCTTGTTTTTGCCGATAAGTGCGAAAAGTTGGGAAATTCCCATCTCAACTTACTAAAATTTGAACTTCGCGATCGACAGTCATATCAGAGAATATTGTTTCATTCTTCACCTGAGTCTTCCCTGGGCCCCATCGAGGTTCCTGTTGTTCTCTCTTCCGTTGTGTCAGTGGGTAGAGCAGGGCATGTTTTCGAAAGCATCGCTGGTGTGAGCAAGAAGTTGACTTCACAGCTCGATTTCTCGAGATCCTGAATATTTTTGCTTGACGAAAAAATGACCAAGGAGAACGGAGCCAAGCGTCTCGATGGCTGTGTAACCAGGTAACACCAGGGACCAAAACCTACTGTAAGCGCGTTTTGGAGAGAGAGACTGAAGTGGGTGCACAGACTCTGGTAAGTGGATCCACTTCTAATTCTCAAGTGGCGAAATATATTGCTACGCTGAAAACATTGCAGTATTGAGTGAGTGGTAAATCGTTGGTGAGCTACTGCTCAGTGACTTGGGCTATTTACGAAAGCTGTGACCTGTCAGCTGTCAACGTCACCAGCAGTAAGTCATCACCTGGGTCCACTTGAATAATGTAATGTGCATAAAATGCAGCACTAGTATATTGTTTTGCAGTACTATTCTCTATTGTCAGAGTGTGAAGTATTTTGTAAATGTTGTGTTGTACAGCACCAGTGATTTGAAAATATTCCTACACCACTCGCACCAGTTCTATTATGATGAATGTATGCACCTGTACCCATACGCACCATGTGCATGCACATACGCAGGCACGCGTGTGAGCCTACATGTTGTGTGTGTGCGCGCGCGCGCGCGCAGTGCATGTTGTGTGTGTGCGCGCGCGCACACGTGCACAAGTGCATGGACAGCAGAATATGGTAACTAAGCTCAAGAGCATGCATTTTACATGTGGGTGTATGCTATTGCGGGTGCGCGTATATGACGTACATGTATTTGTGTGTGCAAGGGGTACTTGCTTGTGAGTGTGAGTATGTGCATGTAAGCGTACATGTATGTATCAATATGGGCAATGCGCATGCACCCACATAGACTTGTGGTTGTTCCATGTTATTGGGAATAGTGTTATGGTTACACCTAATGGGTGCTACAATTACTAGCAGTCGTTCATTGCCAATATTGAGTTGAACCTGCATCTACATTGTACATGTACTACAAACATGAAACTGTAGCGTTATTGACCCAGAATATAATAATTGTTATCCTCCTCAAGCTCTTTGCCTGTTGCTTTATGAGAAATACTAGGAGTGAACTATTGCAAGAGTTGTGATGCAAAGCTGGTCTGAACTGCGTTCACGGTCAGTAGGCCTCGGCCTGGATCATGAATAACGTTGTGCATGGATCATGCCGATATCCAGATCAAGGGCTAAAAAGCCGAGGAACCATGGCCTCATCTAGTCTCCATGTGTACTATAACAATCTGGGGGACCATTCAATGCTTTTGACACAAAAAATTGGAGTAATACCACATGGAATGCATAGAATGATCACCTTACCTGAAAAATAGCAATTCCAAGAATGGTGGAAAATCGGCCAATTTTCTGTCCTATTTTTATTTTTGGATGTCTAAAATGCACGGTAACCCCCTTGAAATTATATATTTCTAGTTTCTATGAAGTATGAGGATCCCAAAAATAAAATAAAAAGGGCATGTCCATGAAGAAATTATGAAGCTGTGCACCCAATTGTACTTTGCGGACGGGCATTTCTGCGAAGTTCATTTTTGTACCAAAATTACTATTTTTCTGAGTAGTCAATGCTGATTGCCAGATTTTCTTGCTCAAATGCTTCACTGTGATGTGTGAAAGGACTTGCAATCACAAAGAGAAGCCAGGCAACTGGTAAATCTGAAATATGACCCCAAAACAAGCAAATTTAGGCCGAAATCGATAAATACACCCACCCCTAGAAATACACCTCAAACAGCCTTATCTCCGCGGAAACACCCCCTGAATTTTTTTGTGGAGTAACATGGGATGATATAGAGCACACTCATCCACAAAAAGGAGAGGGTTTATGAAGAAAAAAAATCACCCCCAAAGGGTTGGAGCCTCCTTAATGACCTTGAACGCACATTGCTGAAGGTGCACAAACTGTCTCTTGCTGCACACGCAGATATGCATTGAAACGAGAATGCATGCCGTACAACAAAATCACAGGCACTTGTAATTTTTCTGTTACCCTGGCCCTTACGTGGAAGCAGTTTGAATCTCAGTCGTAAAAGAGAAAAATTTTCTTGCGGTAGAGCACAGCCAGATGCACACACGTGAGACAATACGCGGGCTTTTGGCACCAACCCTTGCTGGTGAAGCTATTGTTTGATCTCATTGCTTACTGTATGCTGTTTCTCTCTCTCTCTTTCTCTCTTTCTCTCTCTCTCTCTCTCTCTCTCTCTCTCTCTCTCTCTCTTTCTCTCTCTCTTTCTCTCTCTTTCTCCCTCTCTATCTCTCTCTATCTCTATCTCTTTCTCTCTCTCTATCTCTCTCTCTCTCTCTCTCTCTCTCTCTCTCTCTCTCTCTCTCTCTCTCTCTCTCTCTCTCTCTCTCTCTCTTTCCTTGTCCTCACGTAGACGTCTGAGGACGTGAAGATCGTCACAAACCGACCGGCAATAGAAGTTGAAGAAGTCATCCCGGCAGCTACATCGGGTGCAACTCTACTGGCCCCAGGTGAAGTGATGGCGTCCAAGAAGGGGGAGACAAAGGGCGCTGCTGAAGAAACCAGCACCGACAAAAAGCGACAGCGCCGTGCAAAGAAGACAGCACAGCGCTTGCGGGCCGCCAAGGACAAGAAGAAGATCAAGACGGGTGGAAAGACAGCTGCTGCTGTTGACCATGTCAATAAACAGGCCAAGATCGGCAAGGTAGGAGCGCTGCCATTCTTTATACTTGTGTTGCTTTTCATTTCTTGTGCTCAGATGTTCTCAGCATGACCGTGATATCATCGACACTTCGAATGTTGTCAACATTGTTGCATGACTGGGGGGGGGGGGGGCTCTTTTGATTGGTCAAGCTGAATTCGGATCAGATTCACTGTTTCAATCGGAGCAGCAGTTCCCATTGAAACAGTAGAACGAATAGTACTGCTAGACACAGTGCACTGATCTCCGCGCCAATAACGTTTTTCGTAGGGTTTTGCCAGTTGCTCTGGCTGCTCCAGCCTTGAAGCTTTTGTTCTAAACAACCCTGTTCCGGGTCCGACCGAACAACACCCAGAGAAAGCATGCATGTGGTCAGTGGAGTTCGAAGCACGGTGGAACCTTGGGTTACCACCCCCACTTGCTGCACAAAATACTCTTTTTATAGGCAGGTGGGCTTGTAGCTCAAGTTCATATGTACACTAGTATGTAGCAACATTGTCTGGATCCTGTGTGTGCGTGGATGTGTGTGGATGTGTGTACTTGCACTGTCAGGTCAAGATTGTTGGCAAGGATCAGCCAGCAGACAAGGCCATCAAGTCCAGTACCGCTTTCTTTGCGAAACTCCAGGACCAAGCAACAGCTGCTGTTGCCAAGGCCAAGTCATCTGCTTGAGAACACTTCTTTTTTTTAACCTGTACATATGTTTCGCATGTTTGAGATTAATATTTTCATGGATGAATTTTAATGCTATAGTCATCCTACAAGGCTGTCTTGATCTCACTTTTGCTGGGCAAAGTTGATCTCCCTGTGCTTTCCGAACGCTGGTATCCTTTGTGCATTGTCTGATCCCCAAGGGCTGCTCTTCTGTCGGCCGCTTGTAACAGGGCACTGTCCCGCCACTACTGCCTGGCACTTGGCAAACATGAAACACAGGCTGTGTACCCGATGGCGGCATTTATTGAGGCCCACCTGTGGTCCAAGAAAACAATGCACCCATACAAACATGTGGAAATGGTTGCCCTATTTCTGGCTTTACTTGCATAATTCATGTATGCTCATTAGTTTGCATAGCTGATTGAGCCAGATTAAAAAACCTTATGTAGATACACAGCCATAGCCAGATGTTACTGCCACTTCAATAGTAGCAGTGGGGGCGGGGGCTGAAGAGTTTACTCTTGATAACAGCATGCATAATGATACTAATAATAACAACAATGATATTGCGTAGCTGCTGTTCGCATTGTGTTGAGATTCAAGCAGCAACGGTAGGAGTTCACTGAATCCTGTAGTGAGCACTGCTGCTTGGTCAACTAACTTTCTACTCCTGGCATGCAGTATTGTCAGTGGTTTTCCCTGGCATCTGACACTGTGTCATATCAGTGGTTTTCTCAAATATCTGTCAGGCTTCCTGTAGATACTGAATACGGGTATGCCTATCATTTGCCCCCACACCAGCGTGCTATCATGTTGTTGTTTTTTCGTGTGTGCAGTAAACGCACAGTAGTAGATCATGCTGCCTTGCTGGAATACTGTTTGCTCCTAGAATAGTATACCGGTAGTACCTGACTGTGCACAGGTACATGTACAATCATGTAGTAACACTATCCGCGTAGATCTATCACGGTTTAGGACATCTGGGATACTACTACTAGTACTAGTAGTAGGCTTTTTCTTTCTTCTTTCCTTTTTTTATATTTTTACATTGTATGTTTGTGCATACGGCGATGATACGCTTTAAAATGATAAGTAGCAGCAAGAGTTCTCTTGGTAGCAGCTTTTCAAGTACAGAAAAACATACGAGTCAATGAATAAAACGATGTGCGCACTCATATCACAATCATAGTTCCAGACCGTTTTCTCGTCAATAGAATCTCGTGACTGAAGGAAAGTGTCATGATAAAACTACATGGATGGATACTTTGGAGTGAAAAAAAACCGAGATTAAGATCTAGTACAGTAGCCGGAAAATAGCACATACCGGCACGGTGCTCTGAAAAGTGAAAACCTATAATTACAGTTCTTTTTCAATAATAATCTTTATTTCAGGAATACCCAAAGGCCAAAGCGGCAAAGGCTGACGCCTATCGGGGGGGGGATCTCCTATTTTGTGTACCGGTATGTACAATGAACATAGTCATTGGAGTCAGTGGGAAAAGAGAAAGTGTGCTCTGCTTGCAAGGCCTAGGATTGTTTGGGAAGTGCTCCATGGTTCCGGACCAGGGAGAATACTAGACCCACACAGTACATTGTAAGCTTACTAAGTGACATTGTGACAACTCGCTGGTCATGCTGGACTTACGCTAGTATTAATATTATGAGATCTTTCACGCATTGTCATCACATCATGATACCAATGCCACCTTGGCCAGTGCAATAGCAGTCCTACAGTGCAGGGCCGTGATGCCAGGTGGAACAACATGATAGGATCAATCCCCCGGGCCCGCGCCTTTGCCATCATGGTAGTGGTGATGATAACAATACGATATTATTAGGGTACAGTAGCAAGCAGCAAACAGTTGTTGAGACTCGATTGCGAACATATGTTCTGACGTGTTTTATCAACTAAACTACGAAGTCTTTTATGTTTGTAGTGGTACTGCGCATAGGCATTACTACTACTAGCAGTCTAGCAGGTACATCATAAACCGGTATGTGTTGTAAACATAGCAAGTCCTAGTACATTGCACAATGATTACCGGTATGTATTTTGTTGAAGTATGATTTCTCTGTACCTAGCAGAGAAGCCGCAAAGCGCACCAATAGCGGGTCTATAACCAACGCCTGAGCTGCCGTGCTGATCATATTCGTGTCCTTCCTGTTCTGTGTTCACTCGCTGCCATTTCCTGCATGACATACACAGGCTGAGTGATCGCATGCGCCTTGCGTAAGGCCGTGCGATGTTGTGCGTATCCGCTTTCTGTCGCTTGTTCATGTCGTCGTTCCGTTCGTCAGCCTGGTTGAATGGCCGCATACAAAGCAAACATACATTTTACATGTACCTGACCATGGCATGGGCCCGTGGATCATGGGCAGAGTCAAAGTAATCAGCCGATGGTAGTGATTTGATTACTCGTTATGTGGAAGCCAGAGATGGCAGGGTGGTGGTTACTACATAATCATTGTACATGGAGTACTGGTATCCCGAGCAAAGGAACGAAGCCAGGGGAAGGAACAAGCAAGCAGGACGGCGAGTAACAATTCCCGTTTTACCAATGTCGTCAGAATGATGCGAAATCGATCCCGTTTACAATGGTTTACGTCGAGTGAAAAGCACGCAGGGAGTCAAACCGGGTTCAACGGTAGATCTACACTACAGCACAGTATAGAGTGCGTGCGTGCATGGTCGGGTCACGAGGTCACGGTATCAAAAACGTACATTTATGAGAATGTTGCGTGGGTGCGGTTTGAATGAGCTTGCACAAGGTGACAAACACCAACGAAACGATGAAGGCGGCCGTCTATGAAGTGATGAACCCTTATGAACCATCCGCATTCCGTACTCGCATCGCATTCGCGGGCTAAAGTTATTCCTTTTGACGTCCACAACTCGGCACAAGTGTCGCAAGGATACGCACAGCGATTTGTGATGTGCCGGTCGTCTCCTTCGAGTGCTTAGCCCTAGCCCTGTGCCTGTGGCCTAGCGCCTATCAGTATCAGTATCATGCATGACGACTCGGGAGAACAAGAATGAATTAATTTTGTCGACTTCCTGTGCATGCGAAATGCTCTTCATGACACTTGACAGCGCATAGCATGCAGTGATCTACACCACATTAAAGTCGTGCTGTTTAGTCCTTTGCTCGCGCACGTTCGTTGGCTATGGCAAACTCAACCGGCGTAAGGGCTTGCGTGCGTGCTGCAGGGACAATGCAACTGGCTTTTGCATAGACATCTGAGCTGCGGCTATTCGTAGCTAGTAAGTAGTTATGGAAGACTGCATGGTGTCTGTGCTCTGCCGCCCAAGTCAACAGACGGTGCAAGACCCCTGGCAATAAATCAACTGCCAAGAACTGAGCTGGGCAGCAGCTGACATGTTCGCTTGCCTCGCGATGTCGGTCAGACCAACGACTTGTTGCTGACTATGCCTATGGAGCTTCGCCGGCCGAAGACAGGCCCATCACTCTGAGTCTCATACTCATAGTACTCATAGTGAGCGCAAGTCTGCCTACAACCTTTTTATTTCTCTGTCAGTTTTCTGTCTCTTGTACTAGAAGTCGGGGCACATGCACCATCCCTACCTATCCAGCCTTTCCAGGGCCAAGGCAAGGGACTACAAATCCGCGCTGGCAGTGTTCTCGGCCATAATTATCGCTTTCGTATGATTGTGTCCTGCATCCTGCATGCATGCGTGGGCAAACACGACAGCATGCAGGTAGATCTATCAAGTATCATGATGGTGTCACTCAGAGAAACGAGGGTAGACCTACCCGGGGCGCGGCATAATCCTTGACGGCTGAGCTGTGACTCATGAGTACAGTCCGTTGATGAAGAGATAAGCACGCGATTGCCGGTGATGGGTTTCACTCTCCCCAGTGTAAGATAACAAGCTAGCTTGCGGACCACATCTCCACTGTGAGATAGTGCCGCCCAACGACTGTTACAGGAAGATCTTACACTTACTAGTAGCAGGTCTGTGGCTTAGGCAGTGCCACAATGTTTCAGCGTTAGCAATGGTGTCTTTGAGTTTTTTCTGCTGCTTGGCCATCATTGTCTGCACAACTCAGGTGGTTTCTTTGAAGAAAGAAAACCCAGTAGCAGGAACATCCGCACAGCATCTCAGAGAGGAAGATTTTTGCTGGGGTACGTCTACAGTTGATAGTCAAGATGCACTTGAGCCAGCCACTAGCCCCCCAGTGGAACACAAGCGGCTGTGGTTTGACTGCACTGCTGTTGCAGGTAACAGTAATGTTGGCTGCTCATTGAAGAGCCACGCGCCCAAACGGCACGGTGCGGTTGGTAGTAGTGGAGGCGCAGTGGTCATCGGTGCACTCCTGCCTTTAAGCAGTGTTCGTGTCGACCCGAGCAAGACGACGCCGCGTGCTGCAGATTACGGTGCCGTGCTTTACGTCGAGAGCCTGCTGTTGGCAGCCAGGAGCGAGATGACACGGCTGGTGCGCGATAATCCGGAATTCAAGAACGCTGCCATCGGCCTGGACATACGGGACACGCACGAGCGGGCAGAGTTCAGCATTGAGCAAACACTGCGAATGCTGAACCATCACGCAGATGACCAGCAGAGTGGGAGCAGCGAAAGCAACGCCTGCGTCCAGAACATCCCGGTTGTGATAGGACCAGACAATAGTGCCGATGTCACTGTTACCAGTAATATCCTGGCGGCCAGGGGAATTCCCCACGTGGCTTACCAGTCATCGTCGATGCTCTTTGGAGATCGCAATCATTACCCGTTCCTCTTCCGAACAGTTCCATCGGCATTTCACGAGGCTGTAGCCATCGTTGATCTGATGTTTGCCTTTGGATGGCATTTCATGCATCTCGTCGTGAGCGATGAACAGGAGGCCGGATTGCCAGGAAGAGCAGCAATCATGGAGTTCATCAATTCAATACCTGACATGTGTACGGCCACCTCAGAAATCTTCAGTTTGGAAGACGAGAGCAGAATGGAGCGCACCATTCGGCGAATTGTTCTCAACGAGCTGCCTTATGATGCTAGTGGCACGCAGTACCTTGCACCGAATGTGGTGACAATGATATCAACGGCGGAATACGCTCGGGCTTTCTTCAACAAAATGGAACGCATGGCAGAGGGAGGTGATGATGCGTTTCGCAGTGCTCTACATCGCCGAAATCTCGTATGGATAGCTAGTGATGGCTGGGCGGAAGAGATAGAGAACATCAAGATCTTCTCCGGCCTGTATCCGCACCTCGGCCGACACACGGTATTCTCCTTCCGCTATCGACCACCACGGCACATGTTCCAGGAACTACAACAGTTGAACCGTCAGCTTATCCAGCGTTTGAACACAATGACGGCCAGCAAGGCAAACTTGCAGTCCAACCCATGGTTGAAGGTGGCGATAGAAAATTCACAGGGCTGTACTTTCGATGAAACGTGCAACGTTTCTACAGATCCAACATGTCGGTCAAAATGCAATGATTCTTCCCTGTATTTTGAGATGTTGAAGAACAAATCGAGGAACTTACCTACCCCGATCGCATCGGGTTCATTAGCATTGGCTGTCCAAAGTGCTATTCGAAGTGTATCCCAC